GAGTCATGGCTTGATCCTCCAAAATTAGCCAAAACATTTATTATTTGTAGCTTGGCATCACAAATTAATTGGCAATTAATTGAATGGAAACCTAAAAGAAAAAATATTTTATGAATTTTATACTCTCCTTTAAATCAGAATAGAAACCTTTTCTGTTAATGAAATTGTGTTCATCATTTTGTGGCTTTAAAATAGCTATGTGGGTTCCATCAATTGCCCCTAATGTGCCTGGAAATCCAAATTTTTCCATAAAATCATTTTTTAATATATTTCGTTGGGCAACTGTTTCAGGAAAGCGTATTTTTTGGGGAACTACTATGTTTTCCAGGGCACCTGTAACCTCATGAATGCAGTTGTGAATTGCAGATTGGCTTAATCCACAATTATATTCCTCACCTACACATCTTTGATATGAGCCTGTAGCATAGAATCGTAATGTTACAAGAACTTTTTTCTCCACTGATGTCCCCGCATTTGTCTGAGGATTTCTAATATGATTGCGTATATCTTCAATGATTTCTCTAACCAATTCCTTATTAAGCCTAAATAATTCACGAAATCTTACATCTGGAAGTTCAAATGGATTGTACCTATTCCGTAGAAACCGTCTATTGCTTATTAATGCTTGGTTCATTTCCCTTCTGTGGATATTCAAATCATAAATTCGAACAATGGGAAGCATATTTAATTTTTTATAGTTAACAACAAAAAAGCTAAATAATAAATAATCAATATTCTCTAACCTCGCTAACAAACAACAAAAATTTTAAATGTGATTCTAGTGTCAAAACTGTCAAATAAACCTTGGAAAAATTTCATTTCTTCAAATTTCCATCCCATTTGATCAAACTTTCCGAGTAAACCCGAAAGCGAATTCGAATGATTTTCATAATCGCATTTTTGATCCGTATCGTATTGTCCTACGGTTCGAATCGTCTATCCGTATCGAGTTCTCGTAATCCCGCTGCTGTGCTTGCATAAAACGACATATTTATGCTGCGTTTGAGAATCCACATCGGATGCATCTGAGATGTAAAAAATCTTTGATCACGTGATTCAGTATACGTAAATGTAATGGGACAGATGTGTCCGATGTGGATAAAAAAACGCTCGAGATGTAAAAAATGCATCCGATGTGGATTCTCAAACGCAGCATTATTTCAATAAAATTTTTACATTTCGAGCGTTTTTTTTATCCACATCGGACACATCTGTCCCATTACATTTACGTATACTGAATCACGTGATCAAAGAATAACGTGTGTCTTTTTTTCCACCGGTTTGTTGCAACCGTTGTTTCACCGATGCGGCCTTGAACGTTTTGTGTTAGATTCTGGTTGACCGTTGAAATAAATAACAGTTGACATACCGCACCGATGCCAACGTTGCTGCAAGAGTTGGATAAAAAGACACACGTTTTACTACATCTCAGATGCATCCGATGTGGATTCTCAAACGCGGCATGGTATGCTTTTCGCTTTAAAATCATAAAGTTAACCTTGAACCTCTGTCAATTCTGTTTTTTACATTTTTATTTGTTTATTTATATTTTTTGTTTCGATTTTGATTAAACGAAATGGATATTCGTTGTAAAAACATAAAGTACACGGTAGCAATTGTTAATTTGCCTGTAATTAAAGGAAATTAAGTTTAAAATTTGAGGTCAAGAAAACAAAAGCGAAAACAGGGTAAACAAAACGATCGTTCAGCGCCAGCTCAATCCTTGTTACAAAAATTTCAGATGTATGATACAGTAATGAACCGTCAGATAGTGACAGGATTAGCTGCCAAATTTTCGCATACAAGCCTCGAAGAGGGTTGAAAAGTACATAGGTTTTGAGTAGAATGAAAGGAAATTTACGAGTTGCTCCTGGGGATAACATGCAAAATTCGATTTTCTCTAACAAAAATTAAGGGTTATTTGTTTCCCATATTTTCACGCAAGCCGTGCTCACTAAATGATTAACTAATAGAACTAGGCTTCGGAAAACCAAGGGCTTTAATGTTACAAGTTGCTAATGGGTTAAAATAAGGGCGTAACCTTGTAAGGAAAAATCGAAATTTTATCCGATTTTTCGACACAAGCCCATCTAATGTATGAAAACGTACATCGTCACTAGTCCGAAAAACATATTGGCTTGAATGACCCGAATGAAAGTCTATTTTGGGATCGACAATTTTTCTGTTAAGGAAAGTGAAATTTTCCATGTGTCATCCCCAAGAGCCACTCGTAAATTTTGTTTCGTTCTACTCAACATCGAGTCTTGAATGCGAAAATGGGGCACCAAAATCAGTCATTATCTGACGATCTATAACCGAAATTTGAACCGAATAAAAAAATCATAATATAATTGGTTGAACCAAAATTAAACGAAATGTCACAAGAGATTCTCGGCGTGGCGGGCATATAATCAGGGTATGATAACTTAATCGGGCATGGTGGTGTAGCGGTCTATCGCGCTTATATTCATTTATAGGCAAGTTTATGAGTCTGAGACTGCTGGGTTTCGAATCCCAGACCAGACCATGTGGATTTTTAATTAAATTGCATGGTTCGGTTTAGGATTTGATGTGTGGCGTATTAATAGAAATTCAATTTCTGTTGATATGACATGCAGATTAAAAAAATTCGCCAATCATCTTTAAGTCGCCCCGGAGCGCCACGGCAAATAATAATAATAGCCGTCCCTTTCCCCGGACAAGCTCAGCTTTTGGGGTTAAAATTCACTCGTAAGGGGGTGAATTAGGGAGAGTATTATTATTATTATTATTATTAGGGTGGGAGGAGATACACATTTTACGCTGCGGTTTACGTTAGTTTCGACAATTTCTTTAACAATTTACACGATATCCTAAAAAAATTTCTCATAATCGAACAAAGAATGGGGCGAAAAATAATATATTGAAATACTGCAAGACAAAAAATTGAATACGCGGAATTATATGGGGTGATCCACAAAAAAATGTTTCTAAAGTAGGCTTTGGATAAATTTAAGTATGGCGGAGCGTACAATAATTCATCTTTTTAAGTGTATGTTTGGATTTAATTCAGAGTAGTGCGTAGAGATAACAGGAGATGTAACTACTAACAAATAATAATAATAATTTTATTGGTACAGGCCTTTACAAACAATTAAAATACATCACTTAAAATATAAGAAATACAAGGTATCCTGTAGAGCAACAGGCAAAGTTCGCTTTCTTCAATCTGAAAAAAAAAAAAAATCAGAATGAAGAAGAGCGTTCTTCCACTTAACCTACAAAAAAGAATACATTATATTATACATTAACTAGGTACATGAATTTTTTTACCGATAAACTAATTTAACAGTAAAAAATAATATATCATATAAAATTTGAGCAATAATTAGATAATAATTATAAACAAAGAGCTGAAACAAATAACTAGCACATAAAATTCACAACTTCATGTACGACATCAAATTCATTATATATCGTGCGGTCCTGAATAAGACATTCTAAGGAACAACATTATTTACATATATTAAAAAAAGCTAAAATAATTCAACCTATTTTATTGCAACTGAACCCAAAACAATTTTTGAATCATTAGGTATATCAAATTTAACTAAATTAGATGTAATTTAACTAAATTAGATCTAATAATTTTCAATAAATTCCAAAACCTAGTCATGTTAGGTTGGAAGTGGCAACAGGGCTTACACCGGCATGGATATTTACTTTATTATAAGCGCACAGTGGCTTACACATTTATTCAATGATAAAAAAAGTTATATCTGCGTAAAATTCTTCTCTTTATCCCCTCTCTTACTTCTCACCTTTCGTCTCCTTGCCGCGTCCCTACACATAGATTGTATTGATTGTCGAATTAATCTTGGCATCGTGAATATTATATTTTATCAATGAATGGTTATATCTCGGTTATCTCTGGTAGTGCGTAATTATCACGGACATGACTCGTACCTCTGTCTATGTCGGTCATTGCCTACTTTAGAAACATTTTTTGTGGATCACTCGTTTCGGTAACATAAATAGGTGTAGAAAGATTTTTCCATTGAAAATATTCATTTAAATGACCTATAATATTTTAATAACGAGTTACATAAAACTGCATTTCGTAATGTGTTACATATACAATATTTTTTCTAATTTTGACTAGAGTATTTATAAAATTGTGTTTTGGTAATACATTACAGACATCTAGGCAATCGATATTACTTTCTTGTATTGTTGTTTGCATACGCATCATTTTATTGATAAATAGAAATAAATCATATTAATTATTTATTCTCGACGACTTGTAGTGTCTATATTGCTTATTAAAGTTATTTAGTTTTCAAAAAAGTGGGTTATTTTATTTTAATTATTTTGTGCTAATTTAGAATGGAAAATAAGGACCAAAACAACATTATTGCTAGGTTGCAAGTTTAACCAAATTCTATTTTTATAGGTCAACTTGTCAACTTTCAATTAATAATGTATTATTTATTTTAAAACCAAAAAAGGTTTATTTTTCTTTTTTTTTTTCTTTTCGCAACTGGTGACAATACATTTTTCATAACCAGTCTCATAATGTTCAACATTATGCAACTGGTTGCGTAAAGTAGATCATTTTGACACTTGCTGCGATTACAAAAAATGTCACTGTATAGGTCAAAATTAGAAAAAAATGTAATTTAGCGCGCTGTTTTCGATGAGCCACGCCTCCGTACCACAATACGTCACCATGATGTACCACTGCGTAATATCATGAGCTCAACCGATTATGAAACGTGATTTTATGATTCTTAAAACACGATTGTACGACAGTGAACACGGCCAATAACCCACCTCTAACAAACATGTTTATTTCAAAACATAACTTATTTACAGTTATAATAATTAAAACTTTAAATTGTAATCAAATAAGTCAAATCTTGTTTTCGTCTGCTAAAATATTATATTTTATGTAGTTTTACCAGTATAATACAATGCACCCAGGGTTGCACTAACTTAGATAATGGTGGTTTTATTTTCAGGGGTTTGGGCAAGCAAGGTTATCAATGTCAAGGTATGATTTACACTAAAGCATGATTGATGTGTCACTGTACATTTTTTAGCTGATGCTTTGCTTTCCTATTTTACATCAACCAGTTTTTCTTTTTTATTTGTTTACAATAGTTTTTAATTGCAGTTTTATTAAACTTATCATGAATTTGTTGAATATTAATATTCATAAAGATGTACCATTCATTAGTCGAATATTAATATTCATAAAGATGTACCATTCATTAGTCGAATTTGTTGAATATTAATATTCATTTTAAAGATGTTCTATTCATTTTATTTACTTAATATTTTTGTTGCCAGAATATTATTAAAAGGAATATTTGTGAAACTTTTTTTAGCTGTAAATCTCATTCAAATTTTGTTTTATTAAACGAAAATTGCATTATTTTGAAGATAATAGTGAACACTTTTAAGGTTTTTCATGATATTTTTAGTAAATTATATTATTATTGTATTTATTTTGTAGCTTCAAAAACGTTTGATCGTCAATATTCTCTTCAGTTTAATAGTTTTTGTTTGCGAAAATGGCGAACTCTCCACTTTTATGGTACTTGGTACTGCATGTGGGTTGATTTTAACCAGACCTAATGCCCTAATTATTTTTTTTTAATTTGCAGCACCAATGGCATGGCTCTTCTTATAGCTTTTTAATTTTGTTGTAAGTTTTTTACTTACTTTTTTTATAATGCTAAATTATTATTTGCATATATTGTTTTGATGTTAAATTACACCTTTACTTTCACTGTTTATTGAATCCTAAATGATAGTATGATAAATATTGTGCATTTTGGTCGCTAAAAATATAAACTCTCATTAGTTTTTAGAAATATTTAAAAAAAGATGTCTTAGTTAGAAACTATTATATATGGCTGAAAAGTACTGTTTACAGATAGGTACTATGGGCTGACGATAATAAAAAAGTAGGTCTTAAATTATGCCAAATGTGCTACAGTCAAAATAGGGTTTGATTAAACCTAAGGGTGTCCCACAAATATGTCGAAAAACTTTGAGGGTTGGTAGGAAAATCAAAATAAACATTTATTGCTTAATAAATATATGTCTGAAAAAGTTTCTTTTCGTAGATACAGGATGTTAAATTTAAAAAAAATATACAGTGTCCCAATAACAAGCTCACAGTACAGGGATTTAAAACTATGTGAAACATGTATACTCAAGAATGGAAGACGTATTGAACAATTCCATTAGTTCGTTAAGGCCGTAGAATTATTAATAGGCTTAAGGTTTTTTCTTTTCATGAATAAACAATGTTTTTTTTTTGTCTAAATATATTCTACTCTACTATGTTTGAACTAAGTAAATGGTAGCAAATAAATACCTTCTATTATCAATTTTGAGAAATTTTTAATAACAAATTTTGTGCTATCATTTAGCTGTTTACACGAGTTAAAAATTATTGTTTTTTTGTTTATTGGAAGTAGGTAAGTACCTACATTTAAAAATAGGTACCTACATTTAAAAATAGGTACCTACATTAAAAAAAATACGAGTCTATTAAGAGAAGATATCTGATGATGGGTTTCAGGGTCAAAACGTTATAGAATTATAAGGTGTTTTATGTTTCTACTTTTAGAACACAAGCATGTTAAAAACGCAGAGAAAAAATCCTGGTCCGCATTTGAAGGCCCAAAAAGACAAAACGTCGGAAATAAAAGAAAAATGTAATTTTATAGAGCATGAAAAAATGGCTACAAAGAAGAGATTTCAGTTTTAATGTATCTCTCTGAGTAACTTAACTAGAGCTATTTTAATAATTTGGTGATTTTGACTTTTTTCAAATTTTCTCAAAAACTACCCATATTTATAAATATTTTAAAAAAGGTTTGGGCTTTTATCTTGGTTCTCTAAAACTTTCCCCTTTTAACCAACTTTCTATCTTCAATAATAACTGAAATGCCTGTACTGTGGGCTTGTTAATGGGACACACTGTATACAGGGAATTCAATGTAAATTTCTAGCATCAATAGAAAACCAAATAAAATCGTTTATTTTCAGTCACGTGTATCAGAATATCCAATCAACTCTGACCTACACTGATAAGTTCCCTAGAGGTGTTATCACTTAAGTCAAGTTTGCCCCAAATAAACCATTATGTATGAACTATTATGTCTATTTTTTATTCTGTTAAATGATATAACTCAAAATTGGACTGTTTTAATAATTATTTATTAAAAAGGTTCACAGTTCACAGTGTGGGAGAAGTGGTAGTGAAATAAGGGTCCTTAACATTAACTGCCGAAGACATTGGACACCCTAGTGCCAGAAGAAGAGTAGATATGTAGGTGTTTAAAAATGTTATGGTGGAACCAAACCAAACATTTGCCAGTCAATAAGTGAAATCTCGTCAGAGAAAACAAAATAATTCGCTTGTTAATAGTGAATTCTAAAGGAAAAAGATAGAATTTAATTTTGTTTTGCCTATTATTAATTCTAGGCATTCTGATGGATGTTTTATAGTCCTGTTTAATTAAGCAAATTCCTGTGCTCTTACTAATGGATCTTACCATAAGTTCCTAATGCTCTGACAATCCTTCAACATCCCCATATCCCTCTTTTTTTTTGATATTTTTCTTTAAAATAAATCTTCACTATTTACAAATGAACTATTTCATCGTTTTCTCTGACGAGATTTTACTTATTGGCTGGCAAATGTTTGATTTGGTTGCATGTACCCACCATAACATCTTTAAACACTCACATATCTATCCTCTGGCACCAGGGTGTCCATATGCCTTCGGCGGTTAATGTTTTTTTTATGTCGGTCTATTTTTAACTACGAAGTTTAAACACCGACGCTGGTGGGCATGCTACCCCTAATTACCAGAAATTTAGCCGAATCCCCTGGTGTTCCAACCAGAGATAGGGATCTTTAACCTCATCTTTAACGAGCTCAATATCGATGGACTCGGGACCGGCTGCTTTACATCGCCTCCGAAAAGATGGCACACCCCACTCTATACCTCGTACCCATTAATTTAACGCCTGAGGTAGGCAACTAAGCAAGTAGTTTGTTCGGACGTACGCCGACTTTCATTGAAATGGTCACCCATGAGAACTAGGACTTGCTACAAATATATGATTATAACCAGTCAAAAAATATCTATCATCCATCTATTAACTACGTTGTGCCTGGCTTGACTGCAGCTATTGATACACAATAAGTGAACCTGCTAATCCGACCTGCTGCTCAGGCGGTTAATGTTAAGTACCTTTATTTAACTACCACTTATCCCACACTAATTATTAAGTATTTGTTTACTCTTTTCAACTCTTTCACCCTATAAACTAAGCTAAACTATTGTTAGTGCATAGATCTGTGAATGCCTTAAAAATTTTATATAAGAAACCACCTAGAGTCATATTATGAGCCTGGACTAGTAAATATTATAGGGTAAGTTATTTAAATTTTATTTTAAAACATCTATATGTACTTTTTTTAATATTTAAGAATAAAAATCCAATCTGTATCAGTACATGAGAGGAATACACTGTTTCCAAGGTCTAAGTTGTATCTACGCTTTATAATGTAAACTTAAAAATAATTTAATAACATGTTTCTAATAAATTGGTAGCAATAATAAAATAAATATACAGAATTGTGATACACAATTTATTATCAAAATAATAATTTAAAAGTTCATGATTATATTTTTTAGTTCTTTAAAGCTATATTTAGAAATATTCAATAAACAATGAAAGTATTTTTTAAGACCAATTTTATATTGTATATAGTAGCTTTATTAAAATTATACTTAGGTACTTATTTCGGGTTGGTGATGGTTTTTTGTATTAAAATTAAATCGTTTATGTCTAATTTATTTTACAGTTTGTACCTGTGTTGTTCACAAACGATGTCATCATACCGTCGTTACAAAATGTCCTGGGATGCAGGATGAGGTAAATATATTTTTAAATTTATTCAAGATAATTATTAGAATAATAAATGAAATATTGAAAAAATATTATTTTATGTAGCTACTTTATTTTAAAAAAATGCGAATTTCAAGAAATTAAAAGTAAGCTAATTAGTTTTCTTTTTCCTAGTCGAACCAGCATCAGAGCACTGGTTTTAATGTAAATGTACCACATCGATTTGTAGTTCATAACTACAAACGATTTACATTTTGTGATCATTGTGGATCACTTTTATATGGACTGATTAGGCAAGGGCTTCAATGTGAAGCTTGTTGTATAAATGTTCACAAACGTTGTCAAAAGAATGTTGCCAACAACTGTGGAATCAACACCAAGCAAATGGCCGAGATTCTAACACAAATTGGTAAGTAAAAATTGAAGTGCCTGCGATTTTTTGACTGTTCCTGGGTAATTTTTGGGTGCAGAATCCAAAATATCCATCAGATTTCGTCTATCAGATCTAGTTTTTAATATAGGCAATATTTACTATTTTTTAACTTTTTATATTTTACATTATAACTATTACTATTGCCAGTTAAAAAAAAAAACAAAAACACATATAGTTAAGCATTTATTATTAGTCTAGTATCACCTAAAAATTTTCTTTCGACTATCTAGCATGAAGTTTACTAGGACACTCTCTGCTGAAGGCTCCAACAGTAGTCGGCCATCAAGTAGCTATCCTATTGTCCTTGATGTCGATCTTCTATAGATTTAATGTCCTGATAGAATCTTTCTCATTGTTCTTCACTACAATCACCTACATTTTCTGAAAAGCAATCTAGGTGGTTGTGGAGGTAGTGAACTTTATGATTCCCAAGAAAATTTTGTACTACTTGAACAAAGGAACGACAAGCGTTAGATTCAGTCTCTTTCATTGATGTGGTAAATTGTGGATCTTTAATAAGTTGCCTTATTAAACAATTTCCATATTGATTTAAAGCTTTCACATATTGTTTCATAAGCCCCAACTTGATATGCAAGGGTGGTAGTAAGATTTTTCTCTTGTAACCAAAGGTTCGTTGCTTACGTTTTGTTTTCCTTCAACTATAACATCTCTTAAAGGTCAATTTCGGTTAATTTATTGCTGATTTTTAGCTCTGGTGTCCCAAAAACATAAAAACAGGGGTGTTTTGTATATCCACCTTGCTGTCCAAGGTGGAAGTTCACCATTTATAAATCAACACAAATTGCCCAATGATATTCAAGAATTACTTTCTCCTTAGTAGGCAAAATCAAAGGTAGAGTGTTGAAAATATTTTCTATCTCTTTGACGTAATTCAATACCTAGTGACGTATTAGCCAAAGGAGTAGTTGCTGTCAAAAGAGAAACGGCCACCCATATATTGTGACTATGGTTTTGAGATTTGTTTGATGTATTTTTTCTAATGAAATCGTTCAGTTCTTGTTAATTGAAATGCTGAGGATTAAATCTGATTCGAATTCTTTGAGCTTCATCAGACGTTGATGTTTCTGTCTCATCTTCTGGGAGTTCAGGAAGACTGCTGAATGATGGAATGGGTATTTCTTCCAACTGCAGTACAGGTCTTCTTGCAGAATCTAGATCAGTATAAGTCCATTTGTGTCTATTGTTCCTATTCATGCCTTTAATATTAACGAGACAAAAATAGCAGTCGTCATAATGGTTTCATGGTTCCCTCCAAACCATTGGTACACCAAACTTTAGGCACTTCCTCTTTCCAATTGTCCACTGTTGCAAATGTTCAAAACATGTTTTACACACGACATGTGGAGCCCAATATTTATCCTGGTCTCCCAAATGAATGGCAAAATAGGTAAGATAAGTCCTTTTCACAAATTCAGAAATAGTTTTTCTACTTTCTTTCAAAGTGTATTCTCCACATACATAACAAAAAACATCTGGATGGTTTACACAGCTACGTCTGCTTGTAGGTGCCATTGTTTTAGTTTTAACACTATAAAAAGACGAAACTTTACACAAAATTATAGCACAATTTTACTTGCAAAAACTCAATAATATACTAAATCGAGAAGGGTAAAGGTAGACAGTAGGTACTATGTTTCGCAGATTAATTAGTTTGAATTAAGCAGGTATAGGAAGATTGGATCTTAGGCAATTTCAAGTATAAAATAAGTAATTAAAGCATGCGATTAAGTAATGCCGGTTAAACAGGTATAGGAAGGTTGGTTCACGGACAATTGCAGGTTTATATTTGGCTAATTAGATTCTAATTTTGAGTAAGAAGTTTCTATTTTGAACTTTAAAGATATATTTATTTATTTTAGTCTTTTATTAGAACTAAATTCAATTAGAGCAAAAACTAGAGCTGATAGAAAAAATGGCAGTTTTAGAATCATCACATTACATATATCTAAAATCAGTCATTGGATTTCGGGCAACAACAATTTTTTTTAATTATTATTTTGTTGGCCTGTGTTTTGAGCCTAATTCACAAAAGAATAATCCACAAAAATGTTACTAAAGCAGGCCATAACCGACAAAGATGGAGATACGAGTCCATGTCCGTGATAACTACGCGTGGCTCTGAATTAAATCCAAACTAACACTTGAAGAAGAATTATACGTTTAACATAACGTGAATTTTCCCAAGCCCTACTTTAGAAATATTATTTGTGGATCACTTCTTATAAGTTACATATCAGTTAATAGAGTTACGCGATATTTCACGAACTGTGATTTAATAATTGATATTTAACATAGTAAGCAAGGATTCTCTGAGTTGACTTTTTACAAGGATTTACAAGTCCGTAAATAATGAATGATGCTTTGTGAATTAGGCTATAGGAAGGACTAGTAAACTTATTTCTTTTGTATGGAGGTTGAGTATTCATTGGTATTTATAAAATTCAAGGTGTATCGCCTGATAAACAAACGCCCAGGCGAAGTAAATTGTTACCGGGTTCTGGTGGAAATGGAGGCCAACAAGATTCAGAAAATACAACATCAGGAAGTGATCCAACGGGAGAAGATTTATCCAAAACTATGGAAGAAAAATTAGCAAATAATGGTTAGTACTTTTCTCATTTCTCTGTATATGCGGTACATTAATGATGACATAAAAAACGAGACAAACCAAAGTTTATACAGGGTGTCCTATTGGTGTGTAAAAGCTAGATTAATTAATTGCATGGCAACGTTGTAAGTTTTTTCAAAAATATTCTTGGGTTTTTTTTTTATCAGACCATCCTGAAACTGAAATAAAATACAGGGTATTCCATTTAAAAAAATTGACATTTTTATTTGCCAGCAAAAAGCGTAGCACCCTGTATATCCAAAAATAATTTAAAAAACCATTTAAATTTTATTAAAATCTTTTTTGTGTGTCTATTAAACACATTGAAATATCGAGCAATTACACACTAAGGGGACCTAAATATCCTAAATATCTAGTTTTTAAATTATTATGTCATTTAAGTGATTTTAGGTTTTAAAATAATCGTTTAGTAATCAATTCTGTAAAACAATCAATAGGTAACAATAGTTGTGTAAATTTAAACTTTATTTATATCATTTTCAAGATTGTACTAATCTAAAAGGATACTAATATGTAAGTTTTCAAACAAAAAACCGACACTTTTGTGATAAAATCAATGGCAGAACAGTTTGTTTTTAATTGCCTCACTGAACTATATATTATCCACTATTTTTATTTGATTGTTTTTCACAAAAATTTTGGCTCAAAACCGTTAAAAAAATGTACCAAAGTTGTTTATTGACTAAATACCTACTTTTTGAAATGTTATTATTGCATTTTAGGACTTTCCCCTTGTTCGACAATTTCACATTACTCATGCGCAAAAAAAGTGCGGGAATTTTAAATCTAGTAATTTTCCAAACTTTTTGCTATCTCTTTCTTATCCTGACCTTATAACTGTTTGTTTGGCTACAACGATTATCGTTACATTAAACAACTGTCATCGATTCTATATAGTAAGGAGCCACTAAAACTTTTTTGGTAATCATTTGCATAACGCTAAATTACAAATGTATCGTTAATTCTTAACCTGCAAAAGATAAAAATACTTTTCTGCAATCGAACTAGCCATGAAATACCCTGTCAGTAAGCGAGAAGGTACGTGAGACTAATTTCAAACTTTTTTCTGATAACTTTTGATGGAAATAATATCTAAAAATTTCAAGTTTGCGCTTCTGACAGCATTTTCTACACATTCTTTTTTAAAATGTCATCGTAGAGGGCTCCATCGCTGCGCAGCAAACTATTTCCTTGTTCTACAAGGTAAGAATGAACGAAATATTTGTAATTTTACCTTTGGCAAATAACACACCTAAAAGTGTCACTATTATACTGTAAAAGGTCTTTACAAAAACATACCACATATTCCTTAGACCAAAATAAGTCGATTTAAGTAAAATTACCTTAGTACAAAGTTGCTTCGTTTGGGCTCCAGAGGGCCTTGAAATTACAATTTTTAAATCGTTTTTCCCATATAAATTTAAAATGGCATATGCGATTTTGCTGAAATTTTGTATATTGGTAGAGTTTTATGTGGCAAAAAAATGGTATTAAAATTTTGTCCGATAATAATACATAGGCGTAGAACTTGATTTTTTAAATAATTGCACCTTTCAATATTCTACGCCAATGGAAGTAAAGGAGTTTGAGTATGAAATTTAGATTGCGCAACTCATTTACTTTAAAAAAGGTACTCTTGATAAGACTCGATTACTCTCATGGTTTTCGCTAAATTTCTGTTTTAATAATTTAGAGTGTATAGGTTTCACAAAAATATTAATTTACAACATAATCAAAATAGAGATTTTACAAAAATTGTTCAAAATGTTCACCATTTTCACGCATACAAAGATTTATACGTCGAAGAAAATTAAAATGTATCCTTTCCATAACTTCTTCATCACTAAGATTGTTTATTGCATCTTGAATACGTTGCCAGAGTTGTTCCTCATTTCTACAGGTTCCCTGTAAACTGTGGATTTCAGATGTTCCCATAAAAAGTAATCCATCGGTGTTAGGTCTGGGGAACGTGGTGGCCAGTTTACAGGTGCGTCATTACCTCTGCCTATCCATTTGTGTGGATATTATTCATTCAAGTGGTTTCTAACGTTTAAAGAAAAATGTGGTGGAGCTCCATCTTGCATAAACCACATATCTCTCCGAAGTTGGAGAGGTAAATCTTCTAACAATTCTGGCAACGTATTTTGTAGAAAATCCAAATAATTTTCTCCAGTTAATCTTCGTGGAAGTATGACAGGACCAACAATGAAATTACCAATTATTCCAGCCCACACATTAATTTTGAATTCGTGCTGAAAATGGTTTACCTTTATTGCATGCGGATTTTAAACGGCATAAACATGTTCATTATGGGTATTAGTTATACCTCTTCTTGTAAAACCCGCTTCATCGGTAAAGAGAACCTTCTTGACAAAGTTTGGATCTCTTTCTCTTTGCATATTAACAAATCGACAAAAACCCAAACGAATTTGAGGATCATGGACTAATAATTCTTGTATTGGCTTCTTATGGTATGGATATAGCAATTGTTCTCTAAGCACTTTAAGAACGACATCTTTACTTACTCCTAGTTCCCTTCCAATTCGTCTGGTGCTTAATTCTGGATCTTCTTCAACACGTTCTAAAATGTCTTTTTCAACTTCAGGAATCCTTACAAAACGTTCTCTTCCATTATCAACAGTGTTGGGAGCAAAGGAACCGGTCTCCCGAAGACGTCTCTCAACAGCAGCAAAAGTTGGGTGGCTAGGTACACGACGATTTGGAAACCTTTCAGAGTACACCCTGACACTCTCTCGAGCATTTCCTTCACAAAATCCTAATGTCAGTAACATATCGGTATATTCTGCATTGGTATATTGTACAGCCATATTACTAAACCACGCATTTGTTTTTTTAATTATTGAGTCAGATAGAACACTTTCAATCGTTAACAAGAGATTAGGTTTTAAAACTTGACAATATTTTTATTTAGATGAAACTATGGAAACCAACAATAAATGTTTTTGTATACGTATTGCAGGCAAATAATTAATATTCCTCAAAAAATCGTATATGGCAAGAATCGAGTATTTTTGTTAAAAGTCTCAATTAGAGGTGTTGAAGAAGATATGAAAAAAGTATATTTTTATGTTTTTCATCGTATAAAATTTTGTCCGATAATAATACATAGGCATAGAACTTGATTTTTTTAAATAATGGCACCTTTAAAAATTCTACGCCAATGGCAAAAAAGTGGTTTGAGTATGAAATTTGGATTGGGTACTCATTTACTACAAAAAAGTACCCTTGATAACACTCGATTTACTCTCATGGTTTTGACAAAGTTTGTATTTTAATAATTATTGTTTATGTTCTAAAATTACTAAAATGCAAATTTCGTCAAAACCATGAGAGTAATCGAGTCTTAGCAAGAGTACCTTTTTTAAAGTAAATGAGTTGCGCAATCTAAATTTCATACTCAAACTCCTTTTCTTCCATTGGCGTAGAATTTTTAAAGGTGCAATTATTTAAAAAATCAAGTTCTACGTCTATGTATTATTATCGGACAAAATTTTAATATCATTTTTTTGCCACATAAAACTCTACCAATATACCAAATTTCAGCAAAATCGCATATGCCGTTTTAAATTCATATGGGAAAAACGATTTAAAAATTGTAACTTCAAGGCCCTCTGGAGCCCAAACGAAGCAACTTTGTACTAAGGTAATTTTACTTAAATCGACTTATTTTGGTCTAAGGAATATGTGGTATGTTTTTGTAAAGACCTTTTACAGACACCCTGTATATTGTTATTATATATTAATAATTGGAACTCAGAATAGGAAACAACAATACATTTGTATGATTTTAATTTGCGCATGAGTGAGATAGATTAGCAATAACGGGAAAGGTCTATTGAATCTAGTGTGGGATGAGATCTCTTTTTAAAAACTATTCTAAGGTTCTTCCATTAACGATCAAAAATCACGTGCATTGCGTAGTTTAAGGTCTGGTAGTCCCAATAATTTACTGCGCAGAATTCTGGTGTCAGTGACTGGTTTCTCATCGTTGTTGGAAGAGGCCTTTATAATTTGGCTGTCCCAATAATATACTGCGCAGAATCCTGGTGTCATTGACTGGTTTCTGATTGTTGTTGGAACAGACCTCTAGTTTCATACTCCTGTTTATATGATCGAAGATTTAGACATACTGCTTTTAAAAACTAAATATTTTTTAATAGGGGAAGGTGCAACTAGTAAAAAAACAATCGGTCTTAATGATTTCCACTTCATGAAAGTACTTGGGAAAGGAAGTTTTGGTAAAGTCATGCTTGCCGAGAAGAAAAATACGGACGAAGTGTATGCTGTCAAAGTTTTGAAAAAAGATGTTATCATCCAAGACGATGACGTTGACTGTACCATGACGGAAAAACGAATTCTAGCTCTTGCAGCCAACCATCCGTTCCTCACGGCTTTACACTCATGTTTTCAGACTAAAGATAGATTGTATTTTGTTATGGAGTACGTCAATGGTGGCGATTTAATGTTTCAGATACAACGTGCCAAAAAATTCGACGAACCGCGCGCGAGGTTTTACGCGGCCGAAGTAACGCTGGCGTTACAATTTTTGCACAAACACGGTGTCATTTATAGGGATCTCAAATTGGATAATATATTATTGGACGCGGAGGGTCATTGCAAATTGGCTGATTTCGGCATGTGTAAAGAAGGAATTGTGGATGGAGTGACTACGTCTACGTTTTGTGGAACTCCTGATTATATTGCCCCCGAGATATTACAGGTAGGTTATCACCTTAGATTAAAGAGACCGAAGATGTAACATTGCACACTGCGCATGTTGTCTATTTTAAGCCAAAGTAACCCACCAATTGAAAATCATTGTAGCACGACACCACCCGAATTGCTCCGATTTCCATTCAGCGATCACCTCCACCTGAGTTTAATCACCATTGACAGCTGTTTTTTGATTTATTTGTTGGTATTTTAGCAATTTAAAGTGTTCTAGTTATTCAATTTCAAGTTCAAAATGTCACGATGTATCTTGAAAAATTGTATGTACTTATAATACAAGTACTACTGTTATGAATATATTCGTTTTCAGCGGTAAATATTTATTAACGTTTTGACATAAAGCGCCATGATTCTCTGGGCTGAATACTTCAGATCCGCATTAAGGGGTTTCAATAAATATTAAGCATCAGAAATCAGATTTCATATTACTTACATAAATTTACAAAAGGGTAAACTTTTGAACATTTAATTTAAATAAATAGTAAATAGGCATTATTGCTAACGAAATTTCGTATTTAAAAAGTAGTTTTATAAGAATGTTTTCTAAAGGTAGTTTTTAGCCCTTTTTGGTAGATAAATAAGAGGTAAAGAATCATAGTTGCTAGCTAAATTTCATTTTTATAAGGTATTTTTATAAGAATATTAGATGAAATACAGGATGGCCTACTTAAAATTTCAAGGTTCATCTTATTTGCGGTCAAATCGAAAGTGACATTGAATTTTCAGTCTTAAAACAAAGTAATCTAGTATAAGCAAAAAAAAAATACTAAAGTTACAGGAGTTAGGTCCGATTCCACCGTTGTGTTAAACGGAGATTAAAATGACAGTGTTAATGTAAAAATGTCATTTAAAACTTCGTTTAACACAACGGTGGAATCGACCCTTAGTCACGTTAATAAAATGTTACATTACTAACCCCTAAACAACTCGAACATAATTTTCGTTTACTAAAAAAAATCCAAAATTTAGCAATATTTATTTATTATACAATAGAATGCGATTTCAAAGATAACTGGATCAAAAAATCCGAATCTCTAAATTTTGGAGCTAAATGCTCAGATAAAAGCAAGCGACCGATAGGGGTTACAAAAATAATCGATTTATCGATAATTCTGATATTTTTTAATGAAAATCGATTTATCCGCTGTTTTTAATAAATTATTTTCGTTTTTTTTAAGATAATGTATTAATCGATTTTAAAGGAAATACAAAAAAAGTAGATTTATTCAAAATAATCGATTTATCGTTTAATCGGTTTTTTAATTATATGATTATTTTCGATTTTTCAAAGATATATGAAAATAATCGATTGGATATAATCGGTTATTTTACATAATCGATATTTTGGTTATTTTTTAAAATTATCGATTTATTGGATAATCAGCTTTTTAATAATCAATTATTTTCGATAATCGAATAATCAATTTCAAAGGAAATATGAAAAAAGGATTATTAGAAAATAATAGATAATTCGTTTTATTTTTTGGAAAATCGATTTATCATAGAATCGGCTTCTTAATTAATTGGTTATTTTCGATTTGGCGATTATTTTGGAATTATTGATTATTTTTGGTATTTCAAAGATAATCGAATTATCGATTTTAAAGGAAATACAATAAAAATAGATTGATAATAATCGTTTGATCGAAAATAATCGATTATTTAAAATAATCGATCATTCTGTTTTTTTTGAAAATCGATTTGTCAGTTAATCGACTTTTTAATTAATCGATTATTTTTGAAATACAATAAAATAGATTATTGGTAATAATCGATTTATCATAGAATCGGCTTCTTAATTAATTGATTATTTTCGATTAGGCGATTATTTTGGAATTATCGATTATTTTCGGTATTTTAAAGATAATCGAATTAACGATTTTAAAGGAAATACAATAAAAATAGATTATTGATAATAATCGATTGATCGAAAATAATCAATTATTTAAAATAATTGATCATTCTGTTTTTTTTTTAATCTATTTATCAGTTAATCGACTTTTTAATTAATCGATTATTTTTGATTAATCGATTATTTTCGATTTTTCAAAGATTAACGAATTATCTCTTTCCATGGACGAAAAAAAAAAATGGTTTATTTGAAAATAATCGATTATTTAAAATAAACGATAATTCTATTTATATTATATTTTGTAAACACTGATTTATCGGTTAATTGGCTTTTTAACTAATCGATTATTTTTGATTTTTCAAAGATAATCAAGTAGTCGATTTTAAAGGAAATGACAAAAAATATATTGTTTGAAAATAATCGATTGATCGAAAATAATCGATTATTTTCAATGATCGATAATTTATTTCGATAATCACTCATCCCTAGCGACCAAATGACTTTTAATAGATTTAAATTTTAAAATGTTATCTGGTTTCAGACATATGCATTTCTAGAGTTTTATGTGACTCATCCTTTATAATAATTAATATTCTTAAAGAAAGAAGCCTTAATATACTTTTATCTGAGGTTACAATACGAAACAGCATTTTCTCATTTTGACTAATTTTTAATAATATGTAATAGCCGTAGAAAAAATATAATGTTCAACTCATAAGGTTAGATTTGCAGTATTAGCCTGCGCACATACTATTTTTATAATACTCGTAGACAATGAGTAACAATATACTATTTCAACATTTTACTGTAATCTCTTGCAGAAAAGTCCGTAATAAATAAACGCTAACGAAATATTCTATAAAATGTCTTCTCTTTACATAAAATGTCGTGGCATCTGTTTGATATTAAAAAATCACGTTAATTTTATTTCATAATACAAAATTCGATTAAACACCTTTTAAATAAACCTAATAGTTCATTATGATGCTAATAAACAAAGTCCGGTCCCTGTCACAGAGTTCGGGTCGCCGCGTGTCGCCGCCCAGTTCCCCCACTCCGTTAACCCTTCTTTAGAAATTGGCAACATTTGCGCAGGTTTAAAACCGGTGTATGTTATATCTCTAGTCTCTTTTATCTAAGGTTATCACATAATGTATTAATTAAAATTTAATATACCTTTTAGTTGTTGACTGTGTGAAACGATGGGTAGGTAAAGGTAAAAACAATCTTGTAATCGTTTTAATAAAATTAGTTCAGCAGAGCGCTTTGGATTTCGCCATCTTCAGTACTAACTGTAATATAATAAAAATTGACATTAAAATGTTTAAAAATTAAGTTAAGGTAGTTCACTCGAGACAGTCGTACATAAAAATATCGCTTAATGGTGAATACCAATAGTTCGAGATTCTCAATGCTAATCAATTTTATTTTTGTAAGAGACTACAAAACCCATGCAAGCTTTTATACATGGATTTTAATAAAATCCATCCGGCAACCTCATAAATATACGAATGGTTTGCTAAAGAAATTTGTGACTTCCTCATATTAATTTTAAGGGTTTGATTTGGTTCAAACAGAACCGCTGATTCCAGTTCTCAAATACAGTGGACGAATTAATTTTTCAAGAAAACGTCGCGAGGTTATAACATCCTCTTAGCTGATCGAGTGTTATTTTGGTACAACGCATTGATTGCAGCGTATACAACGTTGCCAAGTTGTAATAATTTTACGCAACTACGCGTCGACTGCTTTAAAAATATTTTTATTTTAAAAATCTATATCTTTTTATTAAGACGGTCAAAAAATTCAGCGTTTCTAGAAAATTTTATAATTTCTTGATTTACATTACATTAGTTTTTAAAAAATATGGTAATAACCGTTTTCGAGATATCTTGAAATAAATGCATTACTTGTGTACATGAGAAGCTTCAAGAGTGTTAATTATGCACATTTTGATTGTTAATATCTCGTTTCACAGACGGTCAAAAAATTTAATTTTTTTTTAGTTAAATAAAAGACACTTTCATTAACCTTATATTTCAATTTTATTGAATTCTTAAGAAAAGCCGTTTTACGAGTGAACTACCTTAAAATTATAAATTTGGACTTAACAAAATTTAAAAAAAAAACACTCTTCTTACTTCATGGTGCAAAAAGTTGCGTCATTCCTTTATAAAATCGTGCATGCGCTTCTATTACTAAGAGAGGATTACAAAATATAGAACTAGTTTCCATACATGAATTGGATTAGTAACTCTAGTTAAACGAACAATAGCATTCATAATCTTTCTAACCGGAATAAGTTTCTAAAAACGCCTATAGCATCGTACATAAATAGAATGTTATAGAATCACTCGGGCAGAAGCCTTTCTACCGCATCTAAAAACCCAGCAGGTATCCGGCAGGCAATGTAGCTATGTTCGTATGGTTCATAAGAGAGACGGTTAACGCTTATTTTCCGGTAATTCGTCAGCCAAATAATGTTCAAAGAAAATCAAAGGCTTCAGTCAGAGTGACCCAACAAATTATTTTATGAACGATGCCTATAGCTGACGATTCTTATCATATATACGCATAAAATAGGAGTTGAGCCACTACTTCTACAAAATGAACCCATACAACGCATTGTTTTTGAAACCTGATTCACCACTAAACACTAAAGAAACTTATTACAATAATTCAAATATGTAAAAACAACAGAAATGTCCAAATAATAACAAAAAAACAAATAACCAAAGCAAGTATGTACTTAGGTCGGGGATAATAAATAAAAAGTTACAAAATCACTGTGAGCTCTCAAATCAACAAGCAAGCAAAAAGAGGGCGGGTGGATAAGTCTATCCAGTCCTGATAATTGATATAGGCAATCAATCACACATATATGTAATGTTTGATGTATTTTCTCCAAATACTTCTTAATGCACATGCGTTGTATTGCCGCTAAACATTGCACAGCTGTGCCATTTTTTAATAGGTCGGCAGGATTCCAATGGTAGGAGAGTTCAGTGGGCGATGATACTATTAAGTTAGTGGTTCCACTGACAATTACAATAACAGTAGACTTGATTAAGGTAGGTATTGATTAACATTTTATTTCTATTATTTTCAAGATTGTATTCATTTAAACATTAAAAATAGTTTGGTTACATTATCTTTAAACTATTTTTTACGACCTGTGACCAATATTAAAAAATATATATAAACGCAGGACCTCGTAACTAACATTTCCACTAAAAATGATAATTTATGATAATCTCGAACATTACGCTCTATCTACTGTATAGATGAAGTATTACAATTTTTGAACAAAACATGGGTCAATATTAGTCCAATTATAGAGTAAAATGGATTGTTCTATGCACTTGTGAATCGTTTTTTTCTGTCGTCTCCTGAAAAATGTCGATTTTACGACTTACGAGGTCCTGCCTTGTGGCCCTCGATATATCAGATTCAATAACAGAATGATTTGTTTTGTCAAAAGTTTAGTTAAAGTTAACTGTCAGTGGAATCAAAATTATGTTACACTAATATGGCTTATTGTCAAAAAGTTATCAATAATTACCATTATTATCTAGTTTTGTTCAATTCTTTTTATTCCTTATAGGAATTGGAGTATGCAGCAAGTGTAGATTGGTGGGCATTGGGAGTACTTATGTACGAAATGATGGCAGGTCAACCACCCTTTGAAGCTGACAATGAAGATGATCTATTCGAATCAATTCTACACGATGATGTGTTATATCCAGTATGGTTGAGTAAGGACGCTGTTAGTATATTAAAAGGTTTTATGACTAAAAATCCTAGTCGACGATTGGGATGTGTGGTAGCTCATGGGGGAGAAGCGTCTATTCAAGGTCATGCCTTTTTTAAGGAAATCGATTGGACTGCTTTAGAACAAAGAAGGGTTAAACCTCCTTTCAGGCCAAGAATAGTAAGTAATTTAACTTTATTATTTAACATTATGTGTCAATACAACCATTTTAGAAACCAATAATATGTCATAATCTTTCTAAATTAGATCTACTAACTGACTAATATTCTTAAGGTCTAAAATTACTTTAAAAAATGGAACATTTGATCAGATACATTCCTACCCTTGATTTTCTCTTCTACCTTCCATAACAATGCAGGTAAAAAGTTAAAACACAAAAAATATGTGGTGGTGACGAGGTGCCTGCATGCATATTGAAAGGCTGTTCAGAGTGGTTGGAAATTCATTTGCTGCATAATATTAATTTAGCCGTTAAAACTGAAACCTGTCCAGAAACATGGAAAACTGCAAAATGTATCCCCATTTACAGATCAGAAGATAGGAGTACTATCTCAAGTTATAGATGTATTTCAATTTTGTCAGCGCCTGCAAAATTACTATAGCAAATATATCAACAACTTTATTTCCACGTTGAAAATAGTATAGGCGTAAAGCATAAATCAAATTGGATGTAATTTTTGCAGATTGAGTAAAGGCATTTGACAAGGTTAGGTTGATGACAGGACAATGCCGTCTGCAGCGTGGAAGACGAATCTGCAGAGCATATATAACCAGGTTCCAGATATTCAGATTCACCCGACTTGAGCCTACCGACTTTAAACAAGTCTCACCCAATTCAATCATGGCCTTCATTAAAAGGTGTGGATTGTATGGTGGACTGTAAGTTAGTATGAGCCACAATAGATCCATTTGGGTCGCAGTGGAAGGCGATGAGATCATCCCACTCATTTTGAACCTAACATAACCTACAGTATGTTAACCTGACTCATCAGGCAAAATAAAAAAAAACTTAATTATATTGGACGTGAGAGTGATAAAGAAAGTTAACTACACCCTTTCGATGGCAAGTATGGGATAATAAGATCCCACACTCGGCGAATTTTGCAAGTTTCATGTAATTAGGCCTAATGACTGAAATTAAACAATAAATAAATAATCTTTTTCACAAAATACTTTTTGTCCATTGTAATTTCGACCATGTTATTTTTTTTCTGTTTCAAATTCCTAAAACTACTGATATTGTTTGTATTTTAAAGAGTTTCTGGATTCTAATGAAGTAGTTGAACTAACATTGTTATTTAAGTTACTACTAGTAATTAAACATTAAAATTCAATGCACTTTTTTGTTTTATTATAGAAAAGCAGAAAAGACGTGACAAACTTTGATGCTGAATTTACCAGGGAAGAGCCAGTTTTGACACCAATCAGTAATGAAGTGCTGCAATCTATTAACCAGGACGAGTTCAGAGGTTTCACAATTGTTAATAGGGATTTCAATCCATCACGATTTATAGCCGAGTAGACTTCATATCATTTGAAGGATATTTCGACCTGAATTGATTGCCAGGTATTTTCACCTTCAGTTAAACTGACTTGAAAGAACTTAAAGCTTTAATTATTTAACTTAATTGTGTACGTCCGTACTCGAAAAAACTGAATTTATTTTTATTAGTTGTACTTGCCTTACCTCCAGGTATTTATAGTGGTTGTTATTTTGTTGTGTTCTGGTCGATTCTTTACCATTTCCGCCAAAATTTTAGATATATAAATATTGTATGCATTGTGTATCAACTTAGATCAAAATTTTGTATTACATCAATTCCTTAAACTAAAAATTCAACTTAAAATAAAAATATTAATTGATATATAAAAAAGAAAATGTATTTAATTTTTTATTGGTTTCAGTTTAAAAACATTATCATTTTTAAAGGTAATAGTGTCCATAAATATACACAGTATATCTTGACAATGTTATTGAATTACTGATTATGTTGTCTTGAGTAATCAATGTTTAAATCGTATTTATATCTTTTTAATCATTGAGTGATATACAGGCAGAATTGTGAAATTTGAATTACATGAAAATATAACTAAAAGTATTACATTAGAGATTTAAATTACAATTCTTAAAAGGAAATGCAAGAATTGACCAATTAATTTTTAGCCAAATGGTATTTTGTTTATCTGCTTAAGATTGTGATTTTCGCACAAAATCTAAGATTAAAAATATATATTCTTAAGTAATTTGGATCGCTGGAACGCTCATTGATTTATTAATATTTTATTGATAAGAAACATTTTTTTTTTTATTTATTTACAATAAGTTCAGTATAGTTCATAAATCAAATTATGCCAAATTTCAAGAAAAAGTGAATAAATATATCATCGTATAAGTGTAAATAATTCTAAAAATAACTTTTTCTAAAATATAAGAAATTTATTTGCTTATCCAATTTAGTAAATTTTCCCGTTTTGTTGGTTTGAAATGTTCACCGAAAATGCTCTTTTACTCTAAAATAACAAAGTTATTTACATCGTCATTTATTTTTTCCTTTTTTTCCAATAGTTCTGAGCTTTGTTGATTATCTGATCTTCTTTTACCAGTTTTCTTTTTTTAATTGAGTTTAACATTGCTGATACTCCCTTTCACTGTAATTAAAAGTTCACCGTACTTTCACTTACCACATACTTTTTATGAATACCTTGCACGGGCATCATATAGATTTATTGTTTTAGACAATTTGGTGTGCAGTGTAGTATTGCGAAAAAAATAAGCAAAATAAAAATAATTTCAATTTCAAATGTGACCAAGATATAAAATAAAAGAAAATAAGAAATTATCTAAACGATGCGTCACAAAATAATACAAAAACAACTACTCCTTTGGTTATTACCACAACAGGCATATCAAGGTAAACTCCATAAAAATCGCTAAGTTTGAGCGGCTGTTACTCGGTCCGTTTTTATCTAAAAAACTTTTATAATTTAGCATTTTAAATGAAATTTAGTCTACTTTTTTTATATAAAGCAATGCCTATTCCTATCTTTGCTCAGAAAACCCAAAAAAGTTAAAAGTAAAATAACAAAAATTGATTTTTTGTTTTATTTTTTAATATTTTTTGCATAAAAAGTTAATTTTTTTAAATAATCTATTTCGATGGGAAACAACCGCATTCTCTGCAAATAATTTCCTATTAACTATACTTGAATGTTGCTTCGTTTTCAAGATATAATTAAAAAACTATAAGGGTTGTATTTTCACCTTTATCTCCAATGTTCACCCTTATTTCCAATTTCCACCCACTAATTTAATAGCACTCTGAGATTTTTCATCTTTAAGGACCGTTTGAACGATTCATGCGATTAAAACTCGTGATGGTGATAGTTCCTTATTGCTCTCTTTTTTTTTAGGACATAATCAATAGCCTAATAAACACGTGAGCAAGAATAAGAAGTAACCAAAAATTAAATTATGCCCATCCCATACAATTTTATACATTTAAAAAGTGATTATCTGTGAGTGTTTATACTTGGCTGAACCTCCATACATGTAGAGTGAATTTAATGCATAGATTCCATCAGATACTGAAATCTAGAAAGCCTTTTCTTACTTACGAGTCCTAATAAGGACAAAAGCGGTCCAAGAATGACGTTCTCCTTAGTAAGCACAAAATAATTGTCTACCTTCGCTGTTTTTCAATTTCTGTTGCGGTGTTAGCCAAAGGAGTAGATGATTTCAGAAAAGAAATGGTCATTCATATTATTTTGTAAAACACGGGTTAGATAATTTGTTTTCACTTATTTTTAAAATAAATGAAGACGTCCTCCTTTATACTAAAAAAAACTATTTATCCTTGGAATTAAAAAATCATCTAAAGATTTTATTCACTTATTTTCATCATACCATTTATTTTGAATCAATCAATATTTTTAGCTATCACAAGTTATTCATATTGATAATTTGAGACATGATCTATATTGTACTTAGTTTAATATATTTTTTTAGTTTTTACCAACTGAGACATTGGCATTTATTCAGTATTTAAAATTTCGGTAGTGTATGCCTTAAAATGGGTACTTCAATCATTAATGTAATGTAAAAAATTATTTTTTTTTATTGCATTTTTCTTTTCAAAGTACAATCTGCTAAAATGTCTTGGTTGGTTGTTTTTAAAATTTAGCTCTTAGATCTGACTTTATTTGTTCAGTTGCTGTGATTTCTAAAACAAGAGAGTTACAAAAGTAGATTTGAAATCACCTGTTAATCTAGTCATTAATGGCCTATGTATACATATATGACATATACTTATACATATATGGCATATATAGTAGTTAAAAGCAGTCCTAGTACTTTTATAATAGGAATTTATTAACGGAATCCTAAAAGAAACAAGTTTATTATAAATACAGTATTTTTTGTTGTTTTACGGGTGTCGCCAATATATAATCAGCCAATACCTTGTTATTTTAGGATTCATGTCCTTCTGAGCCTTAACGACCCTAATCTAGGCTGCATCAAAATTGTATAAATTATAAAAATACCATCAAACTAAACTTATTGCCATTAAAAAAAAAAAAAAAAGGACGAGAGGAAATTTGTATATAGTACAAATTGCATATTTGTTGCAGTTTAAATACCCTTACCTGTAATTTTATAGTATTTTTCAATTTTTGAACCATCACACTTAAAATAGTTAAAAAAAGCATGTAAGATTTTAAACTATGAACGCTTCATAGTTTAGTATTATTCTATAATCCAAAATAAATCTGTGGGAGAGTTAAAAGTACCAATGTTGATACTTTCGAGTTAATAGGGAATGTTTTATCATGAGAAATTCCATCTGGAAATTATTCCGCTTGATATTTTCGTTTTATTTTGTTTGGGAAGTTGAGCTGATTATAAATTAAAGTGAAAAAGGCGCTGGAGTGCTTTGGTCGGATATTGTCTAAAAATTAAATGAATAGAAAATAGATAGTTGGATATTTTATTTAACTGTGTTACATAAAAAAAGTGTGTAGCAAGTCAACAAATCATATCAAATTAATTAATTAAACGCTTACCTAAAAATTAAATTAACTAGTTTAATAGCAAAACGGTCATGAGCATGTGGACAATTTTTAGTTTGTAAACCGTTTGACAAAGTTCTCTTTTTGCAGATTATGAAATGGATTATTTATCCAGAGTAGATTATTTCTTATAGAAAAATACTGACATTACTTAAACTAATTATATTTTTGAGAATTATATCAATCATGGGTCACTCGGAAAAGTCATGTCCGACGGATTTATTGTATATTACAGCTATGACAAAAATCTTCACATTTGCTTTTATAAAGTATTCTTTGTACTCTATAAACATTTTCATTCTCTTTAATTTCTTAGAATTCGATGTGAATGTACTTTATAATTTTGTTGAGTTCAGAAGGTGTACTCCTTTTACTCTGTTCACTCCATATCTAATTTCACTGCATGCTAAATCATTGTATCTCTGTGGGCCTACTGGGGATACCACGATAAAAAAAACTCGCCGCTTACTCTACCCCAAGGTGGTGTGGAAATGAGTTTTTTTGGTCAAAACCCGTGTTAAACTACACTTTGAGGAGCTCGTACGCTAAAACAATTGATTTTTCGAAAAAAAAAAAAAAGTTATTAAATTGTAGGAAATTTTCTCTAGTTTCATTTTGTATATAAATGTATTTATCGTGAAATGAGCCTGAAAAACTGCTTTTAGGCACCATTTTTTCAATGTGGTGACGCTAGCGGTAAAGATAACGAGGTGGCAAAGTTAAAATTCGAAAAGAGTACATCGAAATCTAAAATTACTTGTTCAAAACTCCCAGAAAACTTACAGATAACTTCTTTTTTTAGAACCAAATGACTGTATTACTTAGGTTAAATCAAACATTTATCGGGTTAAACACATACCATTCATATCATTTACATAAATTTCTTGTCTTTCAGTATTTAGATTATACATTTTTGATTAATGAGTAATCAATTCCTTATTGTGCTAAAAGGAATGATTAAAACCATCCATTTACAGCTTTAAACACTTTTATCATGAGATACAGGTACTGTTTTTATATTGTGAACATTCCTAACACGTTTGTTCAAATTTGATTGGTTCGAATACTATACTCGTGTTTAGTGAAAACGTCACAGGTCATAGCACATGATGGTATCAAACAAAAGAACTGTCATCTGTCATTCAATGTCCATTTGAATAATAGAGCGGTCATTGAAATTATTTTGCATGATTTTGAAAATGAAAGCAATTTAATTATTTAACATAGTAGAACATACGAAAGGTAAGGTAATAACGTTTATATGTTTGTCTATTGATTTCATTTTTTTTTTAAGGAAAATATCTTTCCTCGATTTAAAGAATTTTTACCCAGGGTACTCAAACCCTGGTTTTTGAAGTGGATGCAATTTAATAATTATTTTTCCGTGATTTGTGGAATTAACCCAACTTATTTGAAGTGTAATTTTTTGAAATGATTTTAAAGTAGTAGCACATGTCCTAGAGGCCAAGTGATTTGCCCCAACATGGTTGCCAAGGTCTATCCACATTAGCCGGACAAGGTACGGTCAAGTCACGGTCTAGTCACAATCAAATCTTTTTGAAAGCATTCACACTATCGGGTCATGACATCGTCATATTCGACCAGTTGTTCCAATGTACAGCAGGCAATCGTGCATGAGTGTTTTTTGCTTGTAGCATCGCAATACGCGCTCTTAAAAAATGTTTTCAACTTCACTAATTAAAATCATACTTATTTTGGATGTAGAAAAAGAACAGCAAAAAAAATATAAAAAATAAAATAAGATTTTGGGTACATCCAATGCTAAAAAAAAATCGAAGGAGATTTTTTTAAGTTACATGAAAAACTTATGGATGATGAAACAAAATGTTTTGTTTATTATAGAATGAAAATTGTAGAATTTCAAAACATATTTTTGACAATTAAAGATGAATTTCGAAAAAATGGTACCACATTTAGGGAATTTTTTCCCCAGCTAAAAAACTTTCAGTATGTTTAAAATCATTTTCAGATGAAATTTTTTTTACAACCATTTTAAAGAAAATCTAAACATATACAGTAATCACTCTGTCACAGCCCACTTTTTTGTCTGACTGGTTGGTCGTTGAGCATCCACACTAGACGGTCTCGCGTTCACCGACAATCAAGGTCCGATCAAATATTGTTGGAAATGATCGGCCTGTGACTTGACCCTGGCTTGCTTGTTCGATGACCGGCATGTGTGAACGGTTTAAAAGAAATCTCATGTAAAATTATGACAAATCATTTTTGATCGGACCGTGACTGGACCGTGTCTTGATCGTGGCTAGACCTATAGTGAGAATAGACCATTATTGTATTATGCTCATTACAATATTTGTGAAAGGCCGTACAGAAGCTAAAAATGTCTTGATGGCAGACGGTACATCAGGGGTTGTGATTTATATTATTTTTTGTTTGGACATAATCCGTAAAGAGGCTGAAAGGGATACTAATTTAAATATTTTAAATACATTTTACCTTGGTAAATTTATATCTGCTGTTTTTAATATATATTTTTTTTAATACTTCGCAATAATAAATTATTTTACTACACAAATAGGTATTGATAATTTATATTATTATATAATAAAACAACTTCTTATTTATTTATCTTTCAGAACAAAGAGTGAACTTTCGAATATATATCATTTTCACACTTATGTGTATAAGTAAAATGCAAATGCATAATTTTTATCATTTCTTCTGTCCTCTCCACTTCCATTTTTAATAGATAGTTTTCAGCTTTTGAGCATAACAGAATATACAAAAGAATATATATTTTTCTTCAAGTGAATCAAAATATGCCATTGAATCGATAAACACAACATACTACTTCCTAGTGTAACACAAAATAATTTTCCCTCAAAAACAGATCATGAAATCCACAGAATTACATATAAAGGTCATCAACTTTCTGTTTATATGCTTTGAATGTGTCAATTAATTAAGTTATATCCAATTCAAAAACCGGAATTTTCGTACCCTGGGTTAAAATTCTTCAAATAGAGGACAAATAAATATTTTTCTTAAAAAAAATTATGAAATCGATAGACAAGCATGTAATAAGTATATTACGTAACAAGAGTTGTAAGTAACCCATTACTTAATTTCGCGAGTGCGTAATGTGCTTACAATTCGTGTAACGTACTATACTCTTTCTACGCCCACTTATTTTCTTCTATTAAATAAAGGACATATGCTTGTGTCGCCAATCCATAAATTTTCGATAGGTAATTTCGTACCTTTTTTTTTAGATTTTAGCGGTAACAAATTATGTGTGGCATCGTGAGCTTTTTCCAAAATCTCCGGTAGAGTGCTCATAATTTCATCACTTTCACTACTAACAGATATATTCGTAGGAAAAGTTGAGAAAATGTTCGAATACAATATTTTGTTACAAACATTGACAATATAAATCATAAGACGTTTATTTCAATAACATGCTAAGAAAACGCGACTTTTTTTAGAAAAATTATATAATGTGTTGCCGATATTTAGGGGCATCACTTTTTTAATCCAAAATTCACTAAATTTATGTAAATAGACAAATAAAGTCTAACGTAGATAAAAACTTGATTGTAATTTGTTTAAACTAAGAAATTTCAGTTTTCTTATCAAGACGCACGTGTATGTTATGAGATCTCATTACGTGCATATTATTGTTAAATGTCATTTACAAGGAATGTTCATAGTGCGATTTTTAAGTTTACCGACATAGGCGTAGAAAAACGTTATTAACTTACCTTCCGTATGTTCTAATATGTTAAATTATTAAATTGCTTTCATTTTCAAAATCATCTAAAATGATTTCAATGACCGCTGTGTTATTCAATTGGACATTTAATGACAGATGACAGTTCCTTTGTTTGTTGCCATCCTGTGCCATGACTTGTGACGCGCCCTAAACACGCGTATTGCACTTATCACACAAAATCGCCATAATTTATGATAGATAAACCTAGACTTACAAAACCCAGGGCCGCTGAGAGCCAGGCCGGGCCCCAGGACAATTCTCTAGATCGGGCCCCGTGATAAAAAAATATTTAACCAAAAACTGTTCTTCTACTGAAATAGAATTATAGAATTTTTCTCCCTACTTCAATTACCTCTTCTTCTAAAAAAAAAGTCCTCAGCCGAAACTTAACTTCCCACTCTCATCTTGTGTCGAATTTCTCATGCAGAACAAAAAATGCTGTTGTCGCGCCCCCCTTACAGTGCTACCGGGCCCCCATTTAAGCCCGGGCCCCGGGAATTAGTCCCGGCTACCCCCCCTCTAGTCGGCCCTGACAAAACCACCGCCAAGTCTTGCACCAATGAATAATGAAGTGTCATAAAACCAAAGAGCCAAATAATTAAATCGACATAACCTAAATTATTCTTTTTTAATCATCATTTGGTTTTGCTACTAACGCCTGCGCACGGTTGTTAATTGGCTTTTGTTTTTAGCCTCTCGTATTTTTACGCCACAAAATAGGTTATTCAAGTATTATTATTATTAAGAGATGTAGCAATAAAACTGTGTGATCAACACGTGTTAAGGACTGGACCTCTACCTCCTTTGATCATATTATAGGCCAGGGGCCCTATTCTCGAATGTCGCATTCGTCACAATGTCTACTACTAATGACTATCAAAATGTCGATCGACTGACGCTATCCGTATTCTCAAAGACAAATAGACATTTTAAAATCGGTGACATATTTGGCGAATGGTAATATCTGACAACATTGGATAGAAACATACAATGCGAGTATATTACAGCAGACATTTACTTGAAGGATCTCTTAGAAATACAAAATAATACTGAAAATATATCTTTTTAATAAATACTAATTAGAAAGTAGAGAAAATATAATATAATCTTTTTAACTGAAATTTCATGTGGGATTAAATAGAACATTGGAAGTGCAATTTGGTAAGAGATTAAATAGAAAGAAGAAGAAATATATTATTATAATATAATCTAAACACTATATAAAAGGACTGTCATATAATCTTTTTCCTTTCAATTTGAAAAAAATAGAGCTATATAAATTTCTTAATGACAGGAATTAAATCTCTTGAACAGACAGGACTAATGATTGATAAATTAGATGAAATTGCAATTTATACAATAGTTATTTTCATTTCTCTTAAAAATAAACATAAATTATCACTGTCGCAACACTCATATTTATATTGTAACATTATCTTTAAAAAGGAATGTCGACTGGTTGAATACCACTCGACTTTATGTCCAACAACAAATGTCGAATTCGCCATTTGAGAATACGTTTTTGCGTTCTTGTTCGACATATCATCAATGTCGCGTGTGACATTTAGAAATAGACATCCGAGAATAGGGCCTCAGGAGCAGGTTTTCGTAGATTTTTATTGTTAGACGAACCGTGCATATTTTTCAGTCAACGGTCGCACAGAAAACGATCCGCATTGAACTAATAAAAAAACTCTCCTAGTTGTTGCTTCTCATCTATTTTTGACGATCTTCAAACGGCAATCGGACACTCATTTTAGGCTGATGTACACGTAATCACTGCATCTCTTTGGCTCGGCGAGTATAAAAGTAATAGTAAATGTATTTCTTGTTCTATATTGTACAAATATTGTATTCGTTTTTTCGTTCTTTTTATTTTCATAAAAATGTTTATATGCTGTACATAAATATTTATAGTCCAATTCAATAGATAAAACAACAAAACATGAAATTATTAATTTACATAACTAAGACACTCGCAGAAAAATTGCCTTTAAATAGATTTTTCGTTGTTGAAAGTACCGTATTTCAAGGTTTCATGAACATTTAAACAACGATTAAGGAGTAGTAAGAACGATCATTAAAATGTATGAACCTGATAAACTTTGACAGATGTTTAGATTGTGAGTTATTTGAAGTTTAAGTCACTCAGACTGCAATTATTGTGTAATTTCTCCCTCTATTCGATATGTATCGTGTCGAAATGGCACATAAGAATCCCTGTGCAGATATATCACATTGACAAGCTCTGTCAAAGTTTATTAGACCAACAAATTTAAAGAAACGTTCTTACAACCGGCTGTAACACTTTTACAATCACATCAACGTACCCGACAGTATATAAAAAAATTAAAACATAAACAAATGGTAATTTTTGCGTACTGCAGCATTAAAATTAATATTGGTCTTTATACTCCAAACAGTCTAAATTTAACGTCAATTTAAATAACCGCACCTAGAGAAATAATTCTTTGAATTTTTGTGTGATGGACTTTTTATTTTTACGAGCTTTAATGCAATTTTTAATATTTTTATTTAATTTAAATTTATTTGAAATATATTTTTTATAGTGTTACTGAACAAATATCCAATTTTTTCAGAAGTATTGCTGGTGTTCAATATTTAGTGATATTGAAGTAATCCTGCAATATTAGTTTAATGGTATTGAAATTGTCCCTTTTTTAGACATATAACACTAATTGTTTTCTAGTTATGTTGTGATAATGTGAAAAAAAAAATTGAATTTATGTGAAACGATGGATGAAATTCATCATCACATAATGACTTAGGAATTGTGCATAATATAAAAAGCTTAACGTTGTTGACTTTACCAAAGATTTTATTTATTATTTTCGTAATGTTTTAAGTGAGCAACTCAGGTATGTTAAAATATCTAATAATTACTGTTTTTGTTTGTCATTTATGCGAGTGTTAAAATATTTTTTTACTTTTGATTGTTTTTGAATAAAATGTTTTATGTACAATTAACATTGTTAGAAGTGTAGACATTGAAATCATTTTATATGAACAATCAAGTGATGTTATAAGTCTCAAAAGTTCGTCTTTTGTGAAGCCAAAAAAGTATTATATTTTCAACAAAAACATTAAATAAAGGTGTTAAGCATATCTGAATTGATCTATGCATTTTTAAATATATAATTTATGTGAATGTTTAATTATGACTTTGTATAATGTGTTTGGGAAAGTTTTAGAGATGCCCCAGCTTGCCAATATTATTAATTAAAAGTATAAAAATAAAAACTTTAAAATAATCTAGTACAAAAATAATTTAAAATGTTAGTAAAATAAGTATTATTAAAAACATACAAAATAAAATTAAATAAAAAAATATATATAAAATAAAAATTGTAATTATCTACTTAAAGTATCAAATCGCTATTACAGTTCAATGCCTAGTTGATCAAATTAATAATAATTAGTAATTTAGTTGAAATAAGTTATAATTTTAAAGTAAATCTGCTTCTAAAAACTTCCTAAATACATAATTCAGATCGAATGCATGTGATAGAAGGACGAAAGTTAAGTATTATTTTTTTGTTAAATATTTAGATATGTTATACTTTTATTTATTTTGTACTTTATAAAATCTGCCAGATTCTGTAAATCGACATTCAAATACATTTCAAAGAAATGTATATATTGTTAAAAATATGTAATGTTTTAGATATTTATTAATGTGAGCTTAGAGTAGTGAAAATATAAGGAAAGAAAAATAACCCGCTACAATTAGTAAATGTTTAGATCTATGTATCACAGGTCTATGTTAGCACTAGGCTGTTAAAAATCCAACAGATCAGAGATACAAACAAGTTAAACTATCACCCAGTTACTACAGAGTAGTTCTCATTTGCTGCTTTGCTTTAAGAATGTAAAAGAAAACAAAAATTACACTAGAATTTTTTCGAAGCCATGTAATTTTTTAATTTTGAATTTTCTTAGATAATTCAGTAAATTAATTAAAAAAAGTAGATTTTGTTTAGAGATAACCTGTTACAAAGTGATGATTGATAGGTGAACAATTTTGTTCTGCTTACAGTGTTGTGCCAAACCATATCCCATTTCAGCTGGCTGTTTGCACAGAAATTTAAAAATTCACTTAACCATTTTATTATTTAAAATCATATTGTAGTATCAATGTGTTGTACTCTGATGTACCTATTTCTCTGATGGTGTACTAAAATATAAATAAACTATTTAATGTACTAATTTGACTTCTTTAAAAAACCTTTTCTGAAAGATTCTATACAAGATTGCCATCTTCCAACGCCATGGAGACTATGCTGGATTCAGTCCCTCCTACGGGCTTCTGAAGGTGGGAAGTAAACTACGATGTGTTTGTTGAGTGAAATTAATTACCACCACATTCTCAACATGATCTCAGACTTGCTAGTTCCCTGATAACAAATAGAAAAGTCATACAGCCTTCTCATTCCAGAGAGATGAATGGAACAAGGGGGACATTCCCCTCTCACAGACGAACTTATACGCTGTCATACTTGTTAACCAATATTATAAATATTCTTTTGGATAGCTAGGCAGCCCTTTATATTATTTGTACCCTTGTAAAAAAACTAGGTTCCAGATATTTGGCTTTACCCTAACATGGCCTTCATCAAAAGGTGTGGTTTGTATGGTGAACCTTAATTTAGGCATGAGCCACAGTAAATCCATCTGAGTCGCAGCCTTAGATTATACAAACCGTAGATAGAAAAGACACTAAGCATGTTAGTACTCCCAGAGATACCAGGAGATGTAACTACTAACAAATATTGTGCGGTCCTGTATAAGACATATTCTAAGGGACACAGGAGGGTATAATATCCACTGTTGTCATATGCCTATTTCATTATTCTCGTTTTGTTTTCAAAATTATTTACATATATTAAAAAAGCTAAAATAATTCAACTTATTTTATTGCAACTGAACCCAAAAAAATTTGAATCATTAGTTATATCAAATTTAACTAAATTAGATGTAATTTCACAAAATTAGATGTAATAATTTTCAGTAAATTCCAAAACCTAGTCATGTTAGGTGGGAAGTGGCAACAGGGCTTACTCCGGCATGAATATTTACGTTGTTTATTATAAGTGCACAGCGGCTTACACATTTATTCAATGTTAAAAAAAGTTGTATATGCGTAAAATTCTTCTCTTTATCCCCTCTCTTACTTCTCACCTTTCGTCTCCTTGCCGCGGACCTACAAATAGAGCGTATTGATTGTCGAATTAATCTTGGCATCGTGAATATTATATTTTATAAATGAATGGTTATGTCTCTGAATTCGCCGTAGTACGTCATATGCCAGAGTTTTGTTCATCGTGTCAACGAGAATTAATTTAATATTGTGGAAATTAACTTTGAAAATGCCAAGGTGTGTTGTAAAAAGCTGTATTTATAGTAAAAGTGCTACGTGTGATGCTGATGGAGGAAACCTACTTTTATTTCGGTAAGTTATTTATTTTGTAAAGTTTCTATTGACGGAGATATTTGTTTATTTGAAACTAAACAGCAACGGACTTGGTCATTGGTACACGTTACAGGTTGCTAGAGAAAACTTGGATAAATCTTTTTATTGTAAACTGCTTACTATATCTTGTTTTATTGGGAATCTTTTGTCAAGAAGTGGAAAAGTAACATACAATCAAATATAAAAATATCAATTTCATTACCAATTTATTAGTTCTAATAGTTTTAAAAACTATTCAGTATTTCTTTATAATAAAAATATGGAATCGATCTAATTAATTTATATTTTGTGTTATTATTTATAAGTTAATTTTCTTTAATATTAATACTCTCTTTATACAAGGTAACCCAATGAAAACTTGACTTGTGGGTTTTGGATATTAATATCGTGGACGTTAAAAAACGCTCTGACAGATCGATTTTAGTTTAAAGGAGGACATCTTTTTAGCATATTAACTGTCAATCGCCCCCGCTTCCTTACTCTAACCAATGTAATTTAAATAGGAAAAGTGCTAAGTATGACACGTCATTTTAAGGAGAATTTGGCAATGTGACTATTCATTGCATTATTCTTGATTTTGGCGCCCCCTAGCGAGATACAAAACTTGTTACCTACTGTAAAGTGTGGCACTTGTGGAAGCTTAATTTTTTTCGAAATTTAAAGTATAGCATACATTTTTTATTTTGTTTGCGATTTAAGTTCTTGTTTCATTCGCTTATGTTTTGTTATGATTATACGGTCCTACCGCGTTGTAACGTTAGCCGGGCCGTGTAAACTGGCAACGCTGATATTCGTTTTCCGTTCGTGCAATGCTAACTCTGTAGTTTTCACATGCACTTGTGCAAAGCGTATTGGAAAAAGTTCGATAACCGAGACTGTATATGTCCGTGAATAGAAATCTATTCTGTAAACTGGATAATCACTTTAAATACCATTATGTGTTAAGCTCCCACTATGGTAATTTAATAAAGTTAGTAGCATCCATCTATATCTACCTATTAAAAAAGTCCTTCACGCGTGTGAACTTACAAACATTTTCTAAACTTTATTCAACTTACGTTAGACCGTTGATGGAATATGTCGGACACCACGCAGTGTCCTGATCTGGTTTTTGATCAAAAAAGATAGGAAAACGTTCAACGCTACATTACTCGAATACCTTTCGGCAGAATCAGACCATCGTATGAAGAACGGCTTAACATGGCGAGTTTGTGTTCATTTTCCCATAGAAGATTAAGAGGTGATTTAATTGTGACTTACAGAATTCTTCATGGTACTTTTTCATCCAACCTCTATAGTATACTCCCACGGAATACAGATGAGCGCCTACGTGGACATGAGTATAAGTTGAGCAAAGAAAATTTTAAAACACGTACCCGACAAAACTTTTTTTGTAATGGAGTTTTCTCTACTTGGAATAATTTACCTTTGAGTGTTGTTCGCGCACAGTCAGTAAATGTATTCAAAAACCGACTCGATGACTTTTTTAACGAAAAGTAAAAGTTTATTTTTACTGCTTTGTTTGCATTATGTTATTTGCTAATTACTTATTTAATAATTGTCTTTGTTATTAAACTTGTAATTTTGCGCTTAATAGGATTCATTCCTCAGCCCTAATTTATTTGTAATAATAATAATATCACAGTTAGGATTCATTAAAACAATAAAAAAGTTTGACAAAAGCAAGAGCATGAGATCTATATATATTAAAGGTCGATAAAGTAAATTATCTTTTTATTGTTATTTTTATTTGATTTTACAGAATTAATTTTTAGAGTGGCAGCGGACAATATCTCCGTTATTATAGAAGAAACAAAAAAGTTATTTACTATATAGTGTCGGCTATTGCACACTTTCCAATACGCTTGGCTAATGTCGAAGTAAAAAACTACAGAGAGCATTAGTGCGAGCAGGAAACGAATAATACCAGCGAGGCCGTGTACGCTGTTGTGATGTAAATAGGCATACAGAGAGAGAGAGAGAGATCCCCACACTGCCGGCTGGCTACGTTAATATTCGTTTCCCGCTCACCTATTCGAAAAAAATGTTATTCTTAATAAAAGTGTTTGCTTCTTTCAAACCTTATAAGAATTTGAATATCTTTTTGCTTTAGTGAAATAATAACAAAATTTTGATTCAATAAAGCAAAGTTCCAACTTCGATTGGGATTATTATTTTTAAAATAAAAACTTATGAAGAATACCATTTTTTTAAAAAGGTGAAAATAAAAAAGTCATCTTCTTTTTCAGTCCATGCGCGGGTCGTTATAGTTGTTACTCGTCATTTGTAGGAATCTGTACTCTAAAACAGGGATTCTCAAAGTTGTCGTTACCGACCCCTTGGGGCCGAAATCAGTTTTCCAGGGTTCGACATAAACGAAAACTGAGTTTGAGGGCCGACGAGGTCTAAAAAACTACCCCTATTAATTAACACAAGTTCTTATTTAAAACTTTCAAGATACTGTATAAGTTGTGTTACGTGTACCAACTTGTTATATAAATGACTAATATTTTTGTATTTTATTGTACTTTTAAAAAACTCAACATGTCGATAAGTGTGCACAAGTTCGTACAAGATGAAAAACTCGAAAAGTCAATTATCGTGGACAAGTTCGTGCAAGATAAATGAGTTCGAGCGTACAAGTCTTTCAGGTACGTTTTGACTTGCTCTGTATTTGAAGCATATACGCGATTTAACAGGAACAAAATTATAATCAAGTTCAAGTCCAAAGATGATCCTGATATTTTACTATACAGTATGGTTCAAATGAAAGGAATAAATTCATTATAATGGAAGTAGTTAATTTTTCGAAAAAATGCTCGGACAGGTCAATTTTGTTTACTCAAAGCGCAATTTTTTAAATAGAATTCACTTTTCCCCCACTTCCCATTTTTGGGCAGTGACGTCATTGGCAATTTTTTTAAATAGTAACCCCAATTTTTTTTTCTTGATTTTGTTAGAACTTGCAATTTCCTACTCTTACATAACAATTTTTTTTGAATAAAAGTCATTTAAAAATCAGACACATAAATTTTATTTTATTTTGAGAACTCAATAAATAAATAAAAGACAATTATTTGTAATTAAGTACAAATATTATGTTTCCGAGTAGGAAATTGCAAGATCTATTAAAATCAAGAAAAAAAAATGTGGTTACTATTTAAAAAAATTGTCAATGACGTCACTGCCCAAAAATGGGAAGTGGGGGAAAATTGAATTCTATTTAAAAAATTGCGCTTTAAGTAAACAAAATTGACCTCTCCGAGCATTTTTTCGAAAAACCAACTACTTCCATTATAATGAATTTATTCCTTTCATTTGAACCATACTGTATAACAAGCTTCCACTTAGGATGAAAGTTCATTTACGTTTTGAAATTCGTTGGAGCTTGATTGATAATACATTCATCTACTAATTTATTTCAAAAGATTACAAATGGATTAGATAGTTAAATAAAGTGAATTAAAATAAAGTGATTGAAAAAGAATGTACAAAGTGATTAGTTACCTACGTATATTAATAGCGAAACCATACATTTCTGCAGTTTATGAAAAAGTAACAGGGTAAGTACCAAAAAACATTTTAATTTTTTTTTTAAATTACTTTAGAAAAGTAAAATTATAAATGTTCAGTTTTCTTTGTTTTCGTTTTTACGCTGATTGGAAACTAATACAAATTTTCTATACTACAGTGACTATCCAAGTTTAACAATGACTAAGTTTTTGAGCATACCTAAAAACCTCTAGTGCCTAGGTGTGATAACAAGTATAAGAAATTAAAAATTTAAAAAAACCGACTTCAAAAACGTGCCAAATTTATATGCGACCACTCCTGAGGTACCCCCTTACTAACAAAAAAGGAATCCTATAAATCGGACAAGGTGGTAAAACATTATCGCTAAACATACATAAAAATGAAGAGTTTGAGGATTTTCTCATGGACCCAATTATTAGATTTTGACCAAATATATATGGGACCACCCCTGAAGTACCCCCTTTCTAACAAAAAAAGAATCATTGAAATCGGACACCGTGTTAAAGAATTATCGCTGAACCTACATGAAAAAAAAAATCGCGACGAATTGAGAACCTCATCCTTTTTTGAAGTCAGTTAAAAATAAGCTCCTGTGCAAATTTAACAGTTTTATTAGTTTTTTTTAAGTAGTTAAACATATTTTTTCTTTTTGATTTGCAGGTTTACTGCAAGTTTTATGATGACAGACACAAAAAAATGCAGACTACAGTTTGGACTACTTGAAATTTGGATTTATTCTATCTCTATCAAATCAACACTTGTCGATGTATCTCATATGTGAAAAAGTATTTAGTAACGATTCTATGAAGCCTTCAAAATTGGAGGACCACTTATCAAGAGTACATGCTGACAAAAAAGTAAGCCCTTGTTATTCTTTCAAGCACTTAAAAACTATAAAAAAGGCCATCCATAAGATCGATTTTTGCGTCATGATCTATGCAAGGCGTTGATGGTTTATGAGCGTCCTATAAAATATATCTTTACTAATAACGAAGTCGGGAAAACCTCACACAATTGGAGAGCAGCTTATTTTACCAGTCCTCAACAATGTATTGAAGAAGCCTGCACATGATATTATAAAGAGAATTCCGTTCAGAGACCAATAGACGAGATGGGTCGAGACGAGGAAAACATTTTATGCAATTTATTACAGACCAGCAGATTCTCTCTCCAGTTGAACGAGTCTACATTACCCGGCAATGAAGCTCTGTTGTTGGGATATGTTCGATATATTAAAGATGAAAATATGTACCAGGAATTGCAGCTTCTTACTACATATTTGGAGACTGATTTCAGAGATTCGATTTTTCAGGCCGTGGAACGTTTTTTTACCGACAAAGCTCTTCCATGGAAGAACATTGTTTCTGTTGCGGCTGATGGTGCACAATCTATGGTTGGTTGTCATCGTGGTTTTATAGCTCACTTAAAACGACAACTGCCTGAGGTACTGGTCATTCAGTGTGTGATTCACAGCCAGCATTTAATAGCAAACAATCTGAGTCCTTATTGCACCAGTCTTTACAATATGTTATAAATGCTGTTAACAAGATTCGAAGCAATTCTTTGAATGCTCGGTTATTTGCTCAGATGTGAGGAAAACGACGAAGTCTTTACTCGGTTACTTCTGCACACTAAAGTTCGCTAGTTATCAAGAGGCCCTTGTTTAGCAAGATTTTTGAATCCGTGTTGGAGTTTTTACAAGAAAAAGATCCAAATTTGAAAGAAAATCTGAACAATTGTAGAACATATATTTATTAGTTAACTGATATCTTTGTTATGTTTAACAAAGTTAATTTGCAGCTGCAGGGTGTCGATTTCTACTTGATTAAAACGAAATCAATAATATCGGCCTTTGGGGTCTATTCTGTAACAATTCCTTTATATTTCACGGCCTTTAAAAATATTGGCGGCCTTTAAAAATATGTTCGTATTCGTTAATTTACTTCTGTCATTATTTAAACAGATTTCTTTAAGATAGTCCTCTAATGTATTTTAAAGATCCGTTTAAATAATGACAGAAGTAAAGAAGAAAATATTTTTAAAGGCCGTTAAATATAAAGGAATTGTTACAGAATAGACCCCTTTGTCGGTAAATTTATCCTTTATAAATAAAATTTAAGCAGAAAATAATATTCACACTTTCCGCACTTGTCAAAATTACCAGAAATGCTTCAAGACGATGTTATTTTATCATAAGTACTTCACTTGGACGAATTACACAAGGATTTTACTAAGAGGTTTGAGGATCTCTTTACAAATTCCTCAAGGGATAATAAATCGTACAATATCACAGCCATGGAAAAAGCCAATGTGATAATACAAGAAGAGTTGATCACCATCAGCACAGACGGGGAACTTAAGCAGAAGTTCAACCAAGGCTATCGGAAGTTCTGGTTGCAGCGCAACATTGATTAAAACATGTATTATGAAACATTGCTGAAAAATACCTTATTGTTTTTCCATCTCATACCTAGTCGAAAAAGGCTTCAGTGTGGTTACAAATATTTTGACAGAACAAAGAATCCGTTTGAAAATCAATGAACGCGGAGAGGAACATAGTACCTTATTCTCGAAAATTAAAAATAGGATAAATTGAACGTTTTAGTTTACAGTGATTGGTGGCGTATACATTCAGTCAAAAAGAGTCCCACCAAATTCCAATATTGGCTTATATTGTGGACGTAAAATTAAATATGATTTTAAAAATTCCTACACCTAGATGAATAGAAATTAAAAGCTGAAATTCAGCAGAACTTTTTACCATTTTATTAGTGAGAGTTGGGTGTATGGGTTTTAAAAACACTTTATTTTTTAACCGACTTCAAAAAAGAAGGAGGTTCTCAATTCGTCGCGATATTTTTTTTTTATGTATGTTCAGCGATAATTCTTCAACACGGTGTCCGGTTTCAATAATTCTTTTTTTGTTAGAAAGGGGCTACTTCAGGGGTGGTCCCATATAAATTTGGTCAAAATCTAATAATTGGGTCCATGAGAAAATCCACAAACTCTTCATTTTTTTATGTATGTTTAGCGATAATGCTTTACCTCCTTGTCCGATTTATGATTTTTTTTGTTAGTAAGGGGATACCTCAGGGGTGGTTCCACGTAAATTTGTTTAAGATGTGGTGATTGCATCTGCACGTTTTTGAAGTCGGTTTTTTAAATTTTTATTTTCTAATACTTGTAATACGATTTTAAACGATCTGCTTTTTACTTCCCTCTATAAAAGGGAAGTATTGTAATCGTGAAAAGTTACCTTCCGAGATTATTTCAGATTTTCACGTTTCAGGGTCACTAGATTACGAAAAACATGTTTCTCCATTCCGTCGGTCTGTCTGTAGGCGCGATAGCTCAAAAACGGCTTTATAGAAAAACTTCAAATTTTGTATGCAGATAAGGTTCCTTTCTGGCTCAAACCCAGTTATACTTCCGATCAGTTATATAGTGTGAGCAGTTTTTAAAATTATAATTATTTTTAAAAGTTGGCAGATTTAGACTAAAATTGATATCTGAGAATTTTAGAAGTCAAAGATTACAAATCCTAAATAAGTTTTTAAAAATTCAAAATGGCGCTGAATGGAATCGTATTTAATCAAAAAAGGTCCCACTTGAATGGAAAAAATAAAAATCTTCCTTTTTGTTTTGTGTAACTGGACCATTTTAAAAGTAGCCAATCATTATTGGTCAATAACGCTGATCGTGACGAAGAATACCTAGTGGACGCGAAGTGAGAATTCGAGTGGGATCTAGAGAAATGTGAAACCGGGTTTTTAGTTTGGTGGTTTTAATTTTAAATTATTAAAATAAGTGCTTAGGAGTTCCCTGCTTTTACAATTTCTATATCGTAGTTCTGGGTAAAATACTGTATTGATTTATTGTATTTTTAATTATAGTAAAATAAAAAAAAATAGATGAACTGTAATAAAACAAAAATAATTCTTAACATGTTTATTAATTAAAATTAAACTAGTTTTATATAATAAACAAATAAATATATAATTATGATCAATAATATTAAAGCTTGAATAAATACAAATAGTACGCTACATTTAATTTAAAGACGTAGAGGTGAGTAAAGCCACGCCACGTTCATAAAAGCTATGCGGATCTTGTCCAGCTGCAATATTAAGTTCTACAGTATATAATAGTTCTGTTCTAGTAGAATTTAAGTAAAGCGGTAAAGAGAGTTTTCCTTCTTTTAGTTTGTCTTCTCCAATAATTCTAACCCAACGGAAGAGCGTTATTGGGAGTTCTATCATGATGCTGGATGTGAGTAACAATTGATTATTTCGGCATTGGGCTCCTTGTAATTTAATTCCTGTAAAAAATACTGCTTTGAACTCTTCTTATTAAAAATATTAATTATTTTGCTACATAATTAAAAAAAAAATATTTTATGAGTTACAAACTAAATATATCATGAACATTTTATTTACTCATAGCATCCAAGAAAATAAACTTACCAACAACTGCAAAACAGTCATGTGGAACAGAATCTTTATCATTAGAATCTGTGATGGTAACATCCAAGTGAAGTTCTTCAAGAGGCCAGCTATTAGCCTGGGCAACACATTGTCTTGTAGCTGTTATGTAAGCTTCTGGGTTAAGAAGTCCTCCCAGCCAAACGGGGAAGCTCTATAAAAAATTATGGAAATAAGCACTACGTTTTTATACAAAAGTATCTATATAATTTACCTGTAATTCTTTAGCACCTGCTGATGAAACTACCTTCGATACTTTCTGTAACTGTTTAATTCTTTGACTAAAGTCGGTGATCCATTGCATTACAGTACAACCTTTAGGTATTGTATAACGATGCCAATTCTTAGGAATAATTCCTCTGACCAGTTCAGACAACATAGTACGATGGTAGTTCGTTTGTTTCTTGTCTCCCTAAAATCATTAATTATGAAATTTAAATTTTTTAAAGTTGGAATTATGTAATCCTAAAAATACTGAGAATAGAACCATGAATTTTATTGGATAGAAGACGATTCATTGAAGTTTTTTAAACATTACTTACAAAATAGATATAAATCAGACAGTCTATCACAAGGTTCAATTTTTGGACCAATATTTTTATTTATTTATGGGCAAGCTCATTTCAATTACAAATTAAAATTTTAACTCGGTCTTTTCAATTTTTTATCATAATTATTTATGTTCTCCCAAATTCCTCAAATATTGATTATGAGTTATTATTATGACTTGAATCACTAGACTTTATGTATGAAAATAAGATTCTCTTATTAGGAGATTTTATCAGAATATTACTTCCTATATATCCTGCAAGATAAAATCTTGCTCAACTTCTCAGGTTTCGCTACTAAACAACTTCTCAGAAGTTTTTGATCTCACTCAGCACAACAACATAGTTAATGGTCATGGTAGAATATTAGATCTAATACTGCATAATGATATATGTATGGTAGAAAAATCAATTGATCCTTTATTAAATGAGGATTTACATCACAGCATTGATTTTTAGCTGTAATGTGAATGTGAGTTTCAACATCAAAAATAACTTTAACAAATCTTATCACAATGCTTATAATTTTCGTAAAGCTAATCTTCCTGAACTGTACAAAAAAATGCAGAATATTGACTGGAGCTTTTTAGAAGTATTTAAAAACGTAGACGATGCCACAACTTATTTATATGGTAAGCTCTATATCTTTGATAAATATGTCCCAAAATATACGCCATCTAAAAAGAAAAATTATCCTTCTTGGTTCAATAGGCAAATCATTAAGAAAATCAATCTGAAATCGAAGTGTCATAGTAAGTATCAGCAAAACAATGATCTTCGTGATTATAGTGAATTTTCACGTTTAAGGTGTGAAATTAAATGTGAAATAAACGAAGCTTATAGGGAATATGTCAGCTCTATTGAAAATAATCTAAAGGATAATTCTAATAAATTTTGGAATTTTGTCAATAATAAAAAAGGAAAATCACGCATAGATAATCAAATAATGATGTATGATGGTAAAACTTTTGATACACCGGAAACTATCCTAAATGCTTTTGCTGATTTTTTTGCACGCTCATATGGTCCACCATCAGTTTTTCAATCACGTTATACCTCGGTCTATAATAACACATTAATCGTATCCCACATTTCAGTAAATAAGGTTTTATCTGCTCTTAAACAAATTAAACCGAAAATGACGACAGGTCCTGATGACATTCTGGCATTTCTTGTTAGGGTCTGCTCAAATTCTAGCTTACCCACTCACTATGCTTCTAAACTTATGTCTTAAATCGAATATATTTCCTGAAGCACTCCAGTGTCTGTCCAGTTTTTAAAAAAGGAAACCAGTGCAATATCAAAACTTTCGGCCAATATCAATTATATGTAATTTCAGCAAGGCATTTGAGATAATTATTTACAATAAGATCTATAACCATGTGAGTCAGCAAATCTCTTCTAGTCAGCACGGATTTATGAAAGGTTCAACTGTTACGAACCTAGTAAATGTCACACAATTTATAGCAGGAACAATAGACAGGCACACTCAAACGGATATCATATATACAGACTTTTCAAAAGATCGGCTCGATCACTGTGTTCTGATTATAAACTCTTCTTATGGACTCTCGCCTTCTTTAGTTTCACTATTCCAGTCGTACTTAACCAATAGAAGACAATATGTGTCATTTTCGGGATTTAAATCTATAGAATACCTAGCTCCTTCTGAGGTACCCCAAGGGAGCAACTTGGGGCCTCTTTTATTTAACATATTTATCAATGATATTACAAATATAATCCGGGTCAACTATCTTTTATATGCAGACGACATGAAGTTATTCTGTGAAATAACAAATGATGATGACTGTGTTCAGTTAACTAATGCCCTAAATGGTGTTGTACAATGGTGCATTGATAACAAATTACCTCTTAATCCAGATAAATGCAATGTTATGTCTTATACGTTGAAATCCTGTCCCATAATTCATCCATATTCCATTAATGCCGTAATTTTAACAAGACCAATAACATTAAATGATTTAGGAGTGACTTTTGATAAACAACTTAATTTCATAGCTCATATGGAAAATATTATAACCGCCGCGAATCGAGTCTATGGCTTTGTAATACGTAATGGCAGAGATTTTCAACATAATTCAACATTAAAAACCCTATATAATACACATGTTCGTTCTAAATTAGAGTATGCATCTATAGTTTGGTCTCCCTATTACTCGGTACACATTGATAATGTTGAATATGTACAAAGACGCTTCTTAAAGTACTTATCATTCGTAAATGATGGAATATATCCTCCCAGAGGTACGGAACAAGAATTATTATTTGTGAATCATGGAATGAAAAGCCTCAGTGCTCGTCGATAATGCTATGCTATTATCTTTACATACAAGTTATTAAACAATATTATACACATGATGCAGCCCTTTTAGGAAATTTGAAGTTTCTAATTCCACTCTTAATTTCTTGCACAACTGATTTCTTTTACCTACCGACTCCGCGAACTAATGTTTTATTAAATTTGCCAGTTTACAAACTTTGTCATATTTGTAATAAATTCAGTGACCAGCTTGACTTATTTTATAGTAGCTCTACATGTGTACGTAATGTCTGTCTAAACTAAACTCTGTATTTTTTTCTTTTTCATATATTATGTTCAACTAAATATTTACAATATTTTTCTTTTTGTACTAATTTCTATATTGTGTACATTCCCACTCTGTAATTGGTTTCTGTTGAGTGGTGTAGACATAAATGAATAAATAAATAAATAAATAATGAATAAAAAAATAATGAATAAATAAATAATGAATAAATAATGAATAAATAATGAATAAATAATGAAAAATAACGAATAAATAATGAATAAATAATGAATAAATAATTAATAAATAATGAATAAATAATGAATAAATAATGAATAAATAATGAATAAATAATGAATAAATAATGAATAAATAATGAATAAATAATAAATAAATAAATAAATAAATAAATAAATAAATAAATAAATAAATAAATAAATAAATAAATAAATAAATAAATAAATAAATAAACATGGTAGTTAGTAATTTAGTGTTATTTGAAGTCATAAGTGACTTCATTTAATCATTTGACAACTTAAAAAGCAAATTTATAGAACTATTGAAGCATTAGGATGGTTATCTGCTTTCAGCAGAGTTCCGAACAGCAATTTCATTTAACTATACAAAACAGTATTTCAAGACAGCGTTGCCATAGTCGATTAAGACCAAATTATTAATGAAAATATTGCTCCAACTTTTTAACAAAAGGACTGTTACGAAAACTGTGGCCTTAATCAATTATGTCAAACAAATATTTGAATCAACTTACTTGACAGATCAAAAGTACGTCATTAAGATCATGCAAAACATCTGTAAGAAGTTTTGAAGCTGAATTGACTTCTCTTTCAAAATATCTGTAAAGAGGATCTTTGATATTCTCCACAGTTCTTCTCAGAGTCTGTAATGAAGTGGGCAGTAAATTAACCCAAGTAGCACCACTATTGTGCAATGTTTTCATCCAAGATGGACGCCCATCGACCTGAGCAGGATCTGTTGGTGAGCTGTCATCAATGGAATATGCCAATTCATCATCGTCTTCCAACTGTTGCATCTTGAGTAATTTAGCTATAAGGTCAGTGCCTCTTGTTGTTAGAAGTACCTATGAAAAATTTATTGTAGATTATGAATAAATATTGTATTATTTTATCTTTTACCTTTTCAGCATTATTAGGCAACCCCAACCAGGCTGGTGTTTGACGATCTGCAAGGCTTTCAATCCATTTCAAGAAATGGTCTCTTCTGGTTCCATCAGGCATAGTAATGTGTCTATTTCCTCCAGGACCATTGTCAATATTTGCTACCAGTGCAAAATCACTTTCAAAGCTTTTGGGTGTGAATAATTTATTCAAAAAGGAATGTAAAAGTCTCTGGTCAAAGTCGTTATCGATTTTACCACCATAGATTGATTGAGAAAGAAGTGTGACCAAAGCATCCCAGGGTACTTTTTCTGGCGGTAAATTAGTTCTTCCCTAAAAAAGTAAGAATTTTAAATATTTAAAATTTACTTAAATATATTTAAAAAAAAATTACCATAGCAGTCGTATCAATCCAAGTGTCTAAAGTATCACAGGCAACACGTAAATCTGATTCACTAAATTCATAATATTTAGCCCAACCTAGTGGGCAGTAACGCAGTCTTTCTTGTACAATAGCATGGAACCAAGCCAATAGGAAGTATAATCTTGCTCTTTCATTGGGTGCTTTCATCATTCTACTAGCTGGAACCTGAAAATAATAATTAATTTTTACGTGTGTACAGCAAAAAATCATGAGAAAAAAATAAATGTTGTCTTCACTAATAATAAAAATACTTACGGTACTGAAAGTTCTCAATAAATTGGCCCTAATACCCGGAGGAGGTTCAAATACAAATATTCTTCCAGCTCTAAGTAGGTTCACAGGAAGTTTGGGATTAATTTCCATGGTAAGGAATAATCTGAAGTTCGCATGTGGTTGTAAAGAATGTAGTTTCTTCTCAAGTTGAACAAGCCATTGGGGTGCCAAATGTACGTTTTTAAGCATTACCCATCTATAAAAATAACATTTTAAATGTATTTTAATGTTTTTTTAGATATATATTTTTTATTTTACCTTCCAGTTTTGCAAGCCATATTAATAGCTCTATCAGCCTGATTAAATCCTTCTGCAGATCCAATAGCTATGCTTGATATTTGTTTGTTTAGTTCAGCCGCCAAATCATCAACACGACCGGAAGCATCAAATCCAGGTACAGAACACAACAGAGCGGGCACATTTGACCTGATTTCTTTTTCAATACACGTAGCAAAGTCCAATTCTTTCTCAGCTAAATACATGAAGTCTGGTCCAAGAACAGCTGCTACAAAGCTTTGAGCTGCAGCTATTACTCGATCTGGTCGGAACGCTTGGATTACCAAGAGTTGGTACATTCCTCTACCTAAAAACAAAACAGTGATAATTTAAACCTTTCAACTTGAAATCAATTGTTATTTACCGATTGCACTTAGTTGTTTTTCTTCAATCCACAATTGTGGAACAGCTTGTTCGGGACTGCTTTGTTGTAACCAGGCCCCAAATTCTGGCATTTCTTTTATTTCGTTTGGTAGTTTTCTGAATGTGGGTAGCTTGGTAGATAGTCTAGTGATTGCTTCTTGTTGGTCGCTATTTAATCCGTCAACGATTGTAGAACCAGAACTATTAAAAACGCCTTCTTTGCCCCTTAGGAAGAAATTAAATTCTTGGTCCAGGTTGGGTTCAGAGAGTTGTCCCTTCAGATGAATTCTGCAGAGTAAGATGGCGAAAGTCATGCGATCGTTGTGGAGCATTCCTCTGGCTACACGTTCATAAACAACCTAATAAAAATATGTTTGATCATAACCAGTAGTTGCTTTCTAATTGAAATGAATATTACAAAGCTTACAAAACAGCTTAAAGAAGTGAAAAAAAGTATAAATACACTTACAGAAAATAGGTTACTGGTGATAACATTAAGTCTAGCTTGATAATCTGAGATACCATCAAGTTTCGAATTGTTATGTAGCACCGAAGCAAAAACGTCAAGGAACATCTTCAAAGAGTATTGATAGAGGAAGTGTATTTGATTGAGACTGTCCATAGTAAAGTAGGTATTACTGCAAGCTTGAGACAATGGCAAGTATTGTTGAGAAACAGTCTCAATTTCTGAAATAACCTTATCAGTCTCTTCAACTTTTTGTCCAATTTCAGCTGCTTCTTGTTTAAGAGTCTCTAAAGTAGTAATAACGCTATCGTCATCCAAAATTTTTCCTTTAGCGTCGTTCAATGCCTGTAAAAGAGATTTTTCCAGTTGCCTTAATCTAAGGTGGAATTCACCTTGCAGTTTTAGTAGATCAGAACGTTTAGCATCAATATCTGGTCGTTCTGCTTTAAGTACTTGGTTTAAGCATTGACTCTGCAAAGAACTTCTAGTAACAGTGAAGTTAACAAATGTTACTCTAGAGCAAATATCTGGAGGAAATTCAACGGTAGGATCTCTCGTTGATAAGAATATGACAAAGGAAGGCGATAAGTCGATATCTTGGTCACCAAGGGTGATCAATACACGACCACCCGTTCTCCTTAACTCTCTGTTGAGCACTGGATTCAATATGGCATCATAGTTCTCGACATCTTGAACCAGTAGTGGATTTCCAAAACGTAATGCTGATTCAAGATTTTTTCTGAAGGAATCATCCAAAAAGCTAGTTTTGGTTATCTTCTTATCCTTAAATTCATTCATTATAAATTCAGTGGCTTGTCCCGATGGATCAATAATCAAAGGATATCTGTTGAATCTTTTCAACATAATAGCATTCTCAGTACACAAATCATCAGATGGCAAAGCATTGGCTTGCCATCTAAGCCTTTCATCAGGATTAGACAAGTATTCTGTTCTTGCTATATCAGCTCTGTATTGAATACTTGCTTGTGTCAAGTGTTGACACCAAGTACTGAATAGATTTTGACGGTAATGTTGATCGAAGTATCCACCATATGCAATAAAAGCGGCAGATAATAAGACGTCACCAATAATAGTAGACATTTGGGATCTGAAAGTTTCACTGCTAGCTTCCCACCTCTCTCTTTCTATTACAAGCGACTTAAGAAGTGCAATGGATCTGTCAACTTTAGCTTGTACATTCTCCAAATCAGTTTTAATGGCTTGAGCTTGCGCAATAAGTTGTGCATATTCTTCTTTATAAGATGCAATACTTTGCTCCAATTGACTAATAAGAGCTTTGACGTCTTCACCACGTTTTTGGTTGGTTTCAGCTTGTTGTTCAAGTGATCTAAGTTCCTCTCGTAAGGGTTCTACTTTCTTCAACATATCGGCGTACTGAACTTGAGCGCATGCCCACTTGACGAGTGGGCCACAAGCATTACTGGCATGGTAGATTTTATCGATGTTGTAATCTGGATTGCTCAAATAGCGGCTCTTCATTTTTTCTCTTACTTCATCACTAAATAACAAAATAAATATTAAAATAAAAAATGACAGCAATATTTTTTTGTAAAAAAAATCTATATAGAGGCTGACCTGATGTCTTCAGTGTTGAAATTGACGATACTATTAATAAAATTATCTCTCATGATGACAGCCCGAATTGATTTCCAGTCACTGGCATTTTCTCCAAGTAAAAGACAAATTGATTCTAAGGCGAGTTTTACAAGGGCGGGAGGATTTGACATTGTACGAATTTCTACCAGTTGTTGTTTCTTGATAGATTTAACAGCTAAACAAAAAGGAACATAAATGTTTGAAATAATCTTTGAAAATATTTAAGTTACCTTGTTGGGCTTCAATAACAGCAGGTTCGACTTGTTCTAAATCAGCCATTACTTCGGATCTCTTCTGTTGGATATGAACAGTCTGTTGCGCAAGTTGTTGCTGGATTTCTTGACTTTGAACCTTCTTCTTTTCGGCTTCTTGCTGATCTTTGACCATTTGTCTAAGCTTGGCATTAGCTGCCTCATTTTTAGCTTGTAATTCTTGCGATTTTACCGCCAAACTCTTTTGCATTTCTTCCACCTAAAATAGAAAATACATAATATATTGTAGATTTAAAAATATATATTTTTATTTAAAATATATCTTAATCTGCAGATGGAAATATTATTTAAAACCCTATTTACCTGTTCCACAGTTTCTGCAATCTTATTTAAACCAACATTGAGATGAAGTTGTTGCTCTTCCAAATCAGATCGTTTTTCATTATATAATTTAACAAGATGATGAATGAAATCTAAATAATGCCTAGGCGTGATCGCCATAGTACGACTTCCCCTTTTGACCAGTCTACTGTTAGCTTTGTGAAGAGTTTGATGAACGTAGACGCAAGCATTGATAACAGCTTCTCTATGATTGGGTGAAGCAGAAACATGATTGCAAGCTGCAGGGAAGAAGTCCGGACATCTCCAACTTTGTTTGTCAAGGTCCAAACGATTCGTGAATTCTTTTCCAACCTATAAGTTAATATAAGTATAGATAATAGCCAAAATATCGAGAGTTCAGAGATAAAACCCGATAAATAGACAAAAATTACTTTTATATACCATCATCCATAGTTTTTAGTACTTTCTGTTAATGTACTCAGTTTTCAGAAATTCCTTATCTAAGTATTGTTAATTGGTCTACCAAAATAATAAAAAAAAGATATACGAGGATCATTCGGTAACTACGTGACTTACACAGAGATGGCGCGAATTCGGAGGAATAATATATATTACGGAAAGATCCCTTAGTATACATAAATTACATAATAAAAGCTTAAATACGTTATGAAAGGCACAACAAATCTAATACTAAACACATGAAATGAAATATATCAAAGATATTCAAAAACATATTCTCTTCATATCGTTCTGAAATTGGCTAATTGAACACCCAGTGATATCTGCATTGTTTCGATTAGCCAGTCTCATTAGTCTAGCTAGGTAGAGGCGCATAATTGAATTGCAGTCTATTATTCCTTGTAGTTCTTGTAGGAACTCTAAATTCAATCGTGGATAACAACTTATCAGATATAACAATCCCAGTTATATCTTATAGAGGAATGACAGATCCATCAAGATTCTTCGATTTACTACTATTGGTTCTATCCTGCGTTCGCGGTAAAATTATTATTGGTTTTAAACCTCTTGTTACACCTGGAACACCGAGATATAATAGGGATTGTGCGCGATGTAAAAATTCAGAATTGATAATGAATGAGGCATGCGCTTAAAGTGTGAATTAATAATTCTGAATCAGTTCAGGATTGTTACCGCGAACAAAGCTATTACTATAATTTATTTGTCGATTCCTAATGTTAAACGTTAATAATGTTTTCTTTCATTCTGTAAAAATGGGTAAAATAATGTCATATTTCTAAACGTTAAGATTTCAGTCTTTTTAACAAGTGAAGATATAGAAGCGAGTAACAAAATAATTTAAAAGTATTTAATTTGTAATTAAGAGAAAATATCTTTAAACGCCAATATTATCATAAATATATTTTAATTGAGTTTTTGCTCTTGACTCTCGACAAATTGAAGCTTAATTATTTTTGTTCTGTTTACAAACCTGGAAGAGGGCTCCATCTGACCAATCACCAAACCAGTTTAGGACACATCTGTTGAATAAAGCAGGGGATGTGGCGGCTCTGTCTTTTAAACCATCAGTAGATGGATTCATGGTAAAAACTACATGTAAATTTCGCATAACCTGTTGAGTAAACCATTTATAAAGTTCGTCATTTGAATCCAACATTAGTCCTGTAAGGAACAAAGGAAAAAAAAGTCTTAAATTTAGATTTACAAAAACAACAAATTTATAATACCAGTTTTTTTTGTTAAACCCTACTATCTAATGCTAACCTTCTCTTTGAGCTCCTTCCTTACATTGTGTCATTAAAGTTGTGTATTCATCTCCTTCAAACAACCCAGGAACTTCACCGTTAGCTAAAAGAGTATTCATCCTTTCCAAGAAACTGGAATCTAACATATTAGATTCATCTAAAATGAATGAAATCTTCTCGTGTTTGCAACCGCTTCTTCTCAAAACTGATCTTAAATCTTCATCAAAATCTTCAGCTGTATATTTATTGTGAACTTTGATCTGGAAGATGGATAATCCATTCATCCAAGCTACAAATCTAGAGAGGGTAGTTTTTCCAGCTCCAGAGACACCAATCAGAAGTAAATGCCCTTGGGGCTGTCTGAATATTCTGTCAATTCTTAATACATGATCTAATACTTCATCAAATAGTACTAAGGGTACATCAAGCTCTTCTTCATAAAATACTTTCAGCCTTGCTTTAACGTATTCCCTTAACTGCTCTCTTCCAACAGGAACGTAATCTTTAGACAACCAATTACTGTATAAAATAGGTCGTTCCAATGCACGTTCACAATTCGCTGATGGGAAATGTTTTAAGGCGACAGCGTCGATATTTTCGTTGGTCCAACGCCTTTCTGTGTCTTCAACAAGTCTATCTTGGAATAGACGTAGAGCTTCATGCGCCCAAAGCCTTACTAATCCCTCTACTGAGAGATTATCTAATGGTCTGATAGCCTCGCATATTCCTCTTACCCATCTCGTCATCTCACGAGGGGAATAAACATAATGGGGCTGCATATCTTGAGTAAATCGGTCTTGAGACGCTAGGTAAAATTCAACCATAGCATTTGTCAAAGGATTCGCATAACCTTTTAAACCTGGAGCCAACCTCAACATGGCTCTAGTGAAAGTACCATAAATTTGCTTTAAAGAGGTTTCTCCAGGATAATCCACATAAATGACTGGTACATGTCTGAGGAAACGATGAGAAAGAGGTTTTCTTCCAGGGTCTGTAGGAGGATTGCAAGCACCTACAAATTGAATGCGTTCTAAGGAAACCCAAGATTGATCTGAGGCACGGTAGAAGCCCTTTTGTTCAACTATTTGGCGCAGGAACATGATTACACGTTGAGTGCCATAGGTATCCATGTCTGGTAAATTTATTTCATCGCAGAATAGAACTAGCCATTTACCCAGCTGAAATTAAAATGTTCAGTTATATTATAAAGCTACAGTAGGATTACATCTATATACAATTCGTTCATTATGAGTTTCGAGTAAAAAATTACCTGAATTGGCGATAAAACTACACCGTTAGGTGTTTTTCTATATTCACAGTAGTGGTCAAAAGTTTTTAGCAATAATTCTGGAGTTGTAGCAGAAGAGAAGTTCAAACCAACAACTTCCATATCAGGTAGTGCTCTCAAAGCAGAGAATAAAGTCATTGTCTTACCAGAACCAGGTGGACCACATAACACTAAAAAAAATATGATTTTTTTGACTAAAGTAAATTATGACAATCTAAGATTTTTTAAATCTATTCAGCAATAATAATTAGTGATGAGTACTCGGAAGAGTCCTCACACATGTCTGACAGATTTGTAATATCAACATTTCCGGTCTTATATTTAAATAATATTACGGAGCGCTTTCTGCATTAATCCAACGTCGGGGCTCTAAAAGAGGTTTAAAAGTTACAGCAAAGGACTATAGTTTATTTATGGCAAATGGCATTTGGTTGAATCTGCTGAATTTTATGTGTTGCAATTTTTGACCTCCCAATTAAAAGTTTTGGTTTGGCTCTCTAGAATATTTCCGACTACCAAAATACGATACTAACCATTTTGGAGTGAACATAATGTTATTTTTTAAATTAAAATAGAAAAATTGCTTGATTAAAAAATCGTTTTACGTCTAAAATAATAATAAGAAATGTATTATTTATATATGGTTAAAAAACAGTGTGTAAACTATACTTTATTTTTTATTATTACACAAAATACATGTACAGGGGTGTGCCAAAAAGTTGGTTCAGTTGGTGCCACTGTTGTAAAATATAATCTGTATTAGTCCAGAGCCACTTAATTTTTTTCGTACTTATTTTCCCAGTCGGTGAATATAAAAATAATAGTTATTTTAGTGACAAAAAACAAAATTTTTGAGTCTAGCTAAAATTTTTGGATGATTTAAAAAATAAAATTTTTCCCAGTCATAAATATTTTACATAAGTAGAAAATAGCAGTCTGACTTATCTCAGATAGCGGAAAGTGAGCCTAGCTGAACATTTTCAGGTTAAAAAATTTGACTGATTTTGCGGATCCGTAAACCTTATTTTTCCAGAGTTGATATTTAGCACATAAATTGATACAATCATGAATTATAATTAAAAATAAGTCTGGTTGATTTACAAAATTGGCTAATGAGTTTGGCAGCATCTTCAAAATCGGAAAAATAGAAAAATGTTGCTCTTATTTTCCCGGGTTTGAATATTTGTTACAGGATAGATTATACTATTTTATAGAAAATACACATCTGGCTGATATTTACAATCATGAAGGCCTTGTCAGACTCACAAACCAGGTAGTTAAACGTGCCGAATTTAGCGCACCAGATTGTATTTAAAGCTGTTATCATAATATAGAGGCCATCATCTGATACATTTTCATGACTGCGAAAATGGAAATTTTTTGATGAAAATTTTTCAGTTTTTCATCTGCTAGATATATTATTCATACTCACAGATTAACCAGACCATTTTTTTTATTTAACTTCTGTATACCTTCTTAATACTAGAACTATTTTTATCACTGGAAAAAAGGGCCGTATTTTCGTATGTTCTGACGCATTTTTCACCTCAACCCATCAGAAAACCCCATCTAAACATATATGAAATTCTATGTTTGCCGAATGGAAAAACAAGTACTGAAAATCGTTACTACCTCTTGAACTATCTATCGTAATGGGTTCCAAACAAATGTAACACCAAAAATATATACTTCGGACATTACATACAGGGAGAGTAAAAAGTTGTATGAAGTTGAAATATATAAAAATTGCCATTTTTTACATAATTCCCTGAAGAGAGATATTTAATCGGTAAAATCAAGTATGATTTTGATATAGTACAATAAAAAAAAAGTTTAATTTCATCAGTCAATTCATGTTCCTATGACTAGTTTTTTCTTTGTATGAGATTTTTTATTAGTGCCTGCTGCTGATTTTAACACAAATATTAATTTCACGCAACAGTCATTTATTAGTTGTGTGCGTTAAGTCACTAGGAAACCGAATTAGTCCGAGCATAAAGCCGGGCTCCACGAAAATTATCTCTATCTATATTTGAATATAAGTATTTCGAACAACATATTTTCGAATTAAGTTTTTTTCGAACAAACATACTTCAAACCAAATTTTTTAAACGTGTTTCAAACAAAATTCAGTTTTTTCAAGGCCAACTACTTTTCACAACTTTTCTGGACATATCATTATCATATCTATCGAACACGTCCAAAAATTACTTTTCATAAAGAGAAAATCATCCCTAGTAAGATTAGGATTCTAAAAGAAGATAAATAACTGTATTGTTAAATAAAAAAAATATTTTACTCACCTATTGGTTTGTGCTCGGCCAACCAAGTATACAACAAAGATTCATGTCTTACAGTATCCAAGGTAGGTACTACAATATCGGGGGAAGCAACTTTATGGGTTTCAACTTCAATTTGTGGAACTTTGTTTGACCATAATGACCATTCTCCTTCAATGGTAACTTCATAATCAATAATTGGCATGCTATTGTCTGGTGGTAAAGGAATGGTGGATACTGAACGAGTAAAATCTCCTAATTCTGATCTAACTTTAAGTTTAGCATCTCCCGCAAAACTCCATAAGATGGAGTAAATTAGACATTTCGGAATATATTTCTCGAGATAATCATTAGAGAGAGGAAAATCTGGGTGCATATGGTTGTATTGTAAAACGTTCCTCACTGCTTGGTTCAACATAGAAAATAAAGAACTTAAAGCTCTTAACCGAGTAAAATCCATGATATGTTCTTGTTCCATGGCATATTCTAAACAACGCACCACAAGACCATCTGGTGCTAAGAAGGGTTGTAACAAATTAACAACATCGAGTTGTAATTGAAGAGTTGGGGATAACATATCTTCTTTCATGTCTGATTTCTTGCCGAAACCTTCTTCGCTTTCTTCAAGCGGAATGTTCTTCAATCGCAGAACGTAGTTTTCAAATATCATTTCAGTAGATAGAACATCTTCTGAAAACCATACCATACCACAACGAGAGACAGTAGCTAATGTTGCGTATTTTAAATCTTGCACCTACAAGCATAAAATAAATTCAAGATAAAAATATATATTCGAAATATCGAATTTATTAAAATGTAAAACATTTTAACATACTACCATTCTATACGTACCTCAAACATAACTCTAACATTGGGAGGTAGCGAAAGACGTTCACCATTGGGAAGAGTCAATAGTTTGTTGTCGTCAAGCACTGAATTTAAGTTTTCTACCCATTCTGGATCTACATCACCATCAAAGATAATCCATTGGCGTTTGTTAATTTCACCTCTAACATTGTCTATGATTTTTCTGTAAAACGTATAATGTACATATTATATAGACCTATTATGCTGAATGCAAAAATATATGAAGAGTTAGGTCCAATTGATTATTAGACATTCTCCTGCAAGGTGGGACTACGATGGAATAATTCTTGACAAATAATTTACATAAAAAAAAAATAGAAAGGTAAGAAGTTTATGAAAAATTCAAATAATCAATTAGTATTATCACACTTCTCTGAGCCGGTTATTACAGAAATGGCCGACTGGACAGAGGAAGGAAAACTGCCAAACACATTGTAGACGATGACAAAATTAGATGGGCTCCATTTAAATCGTCAGGATCTGACAGTATCTATCCAGCCCTATTTCAGTGGGATATGGAAGAACTCACACCGCACCGCATAGGTGCTTTTGAGAAAATCACCTTTCCCAAGATAATATACTCACTAACCAACAGGAATCTAGACGATCCTGCTTCAGAACTCTCAGGATTGCTGATATTTTCTTCAGACTTTTTATTAATACATACCGAAGAATCAAAACGGTTTGTATTCGCAATATGTTTTAGATCGGTAGACATTTTATTCTCGACAGTTAAAAAGGCCGATTCTCACTAGGCGCTCAGGTCACACTACGCACACGATCTGCTCACAGTCAAGGATGTGAGGTAGTATTCACATGTTACACTCAACTGGCGCTCATTTCCCGATAATCTTATATTTTTTAATGCCAACTCAGAGTATAACTTATCACCCAGGTCGTACAATTCTTTGGTATTTCGAACTAATTCAATTAGTTTTTCATCCAACTTGCTCTTAACACAAGAATAGAAAAAAAAACAAACGTCGTTTAATTGTTGCTTGTACATACTGATGCAAAGGTTCACTCACAGTTCGGTCAAAATATCCGCACGGAGAAAAACCGCGGTCAAAGATCGTGAGCGAAACGCCAAATATATATATTACTATCTCCCCAACATGAAAAGTCTTTGAAATGACCCCGTAATATTCCTTTTGCTTTTCAATCCTTTCTTTCATAATTTTCCTAGAATCTGGTATTGAAAGATCTAATTTTCCTCGAATTTTTCTTTGAAACATTAATTTAGCGGGAGTTTCTCCCGTTGTGCAATGAGGCGTGTTGCGATAGTCAAATAAAAATTGTGAAAGAATATCATCAATATTTTTATTTTCGAAAACTGCCTTTTTTAAAAGTTTTTACAGTATTTTCTGCTTGACCATTACTAGCAGAATATTTTAGGGTAGAAAAAATTTGTCTAATACCATTTGATTTTAAAAAGTCCCGAAATTCTTTGGAAGAAAATGGAGACCCGTTATCTGAGACGATTTTGGTAGGCAGCCCAAATGTTGAAAAGAATTTGTTTAAAATTTTTATTACGGTTTTTGCAATAATTTATGCTGTAAGAATAGAGGCCTGCACGAGGTTTCTTCATAAACTTTACATAAATAACGTCCAGCTCTTTTTTGAAGAACAAATACCCTATTAATTAATTCTAAAGAACACGGCCCCCAAAAACAAATACCACATTTTGAATGTGACTTAATTTTTGAAAAATACACGCTTTTTGCAGCTGAAAAACGGAAATGCGCTGCCACAAACCTTAAAGCGAAGCATCCTGAAGATAATTTCATACATAACTTATCTACATAATTACCAAATTTTAAATTAGAGGCAATATGGATCCCCAAGAACTTATTTTCTTGCCTGCTATCAATAACATTTCCTCCTAAATAAACATTCGATAATCGACATATAAGTCATAATATTCGTTTTGGAAATATTGAAAAAGAGAAGATAGGTATCGCCCCAATTTTTAATATTGATTATATCGGATTCATTCATAAACGATATCTAAACATATCTGTAAATTACCGATTAGTAAACTATAATGAATGTCTATAAAGTTGGGTGATATTTCACGAACTGTTATTAAATTACTCATATTTACAAAAAAATCGGTAAGCTGATGATTTGAGGAAACAATTTCATTTACTTGAATTTTACTAATTAAAGTAACGACTAACAATGTGACTGAAAAATCACGATATCGTCCAACTTTTTCTTCGAGCTGACATTTCTATTATTTAAATATTTAAAGATGCTTTGCGAATTAGGCAATATATTTTGTAAATACCTCAATATATGTGTAAAAAGTCCATCGGTCCATTCTCTGGTATTAGGGTCCAAAACACCGTACAAAGCCTCTTTACTTATTGCCTTTGGGTCAATTACATGAGCAACCCCTTCGGTCCCTTCGAATCTTTCGAGAGCTTTGAGTAATACTCGCCAAGCTGAACTCTTACCAGAACCACTAGGACCTACCATCATTAAACCGTGATTGAGATTGGAAATTTGGTATAGTTGGAGCACCTAGATTTGAAATAAATGATACACACAAGAATGTAGAAAACTAATTAAATAGTAAAGCAGTTCATGAATAAAGATGTACCTTAGATAACCATGTGTCTCTCTGTGCAGCATGAAAAAATGAAAAGTGCATTAAAAATGGTGCTGCTGATGTTAATGTGATATTGTACAATGAAATCGGATATTTAGACTTTAGCTCAATATCTAGTTTTTATCCTCTAGAGCAGCAGTTTCTCAAACTTTTTCTTTTTTGAGAACCCCTTATATTACCAGAATAAATTGGATAACACCCTGTGTAGTCATTACTCAAGTAACACATTTCTTAACTGAAGGGTATCCAACTCTTCAAATGTGGTAATCTTATATAGTACTAAAGTAACACAAACTCAATCCCACATAAAACAATTTTATTCAAAAAAATATGACAAGCGGTTTCGGTCTTAGGCCATCATCAGTACATTAGTTTTTTTTTTTGTTATTTGCTCCCTTTTTATTTCTTTTAAAATAACTACAAGATGGTTCTTCTAATTGATTCAATATTAATAGAAAATAATATCTAAAAACTAACTACATATTGTTCTAAATGAATAGAGTGCAAGAACACTATTAGCAATGGGCCATGTTCACATGTGAGATATGCTGTTTTATAAATTATATTGTAATAGTTAGTCGCTATACAAGTTATTCTAAATAGTCAGTTCGTTAAAAAAGCCAAAAGTTTTTAAATTAAGCCCAATTGAAATTTAAAATTTGAAATTATACGTCATCGGGAATAGACCAATCATCTTGTGTCGAAGTTTTTTTTGTTATACAAAACCAAGCCAACGAACAAACCGACACACAGAATGTCGAAGTGAACGCACATCTAAGCATTAAAATTGACAGCACCTAACCTTAGTTTTTTGTTTTGGTCAGGGCTGGTATCCAGCCCTGGTTTTGGTTTAATTTTATTATTAATATGAATCACGAGAATCAGCTGGATTTATAAAAGTTGAATCAAGTGTTTTATCCATTGTAAACGAAAATATGATTACCGAGATGATTACTGCATTTTTTAACAATACTCAGTTTACAAAAGTTAGAAAGGTAAGACTTTGTTTTAATAGTAGGTAGTTACAGTTTATATGGAGCAAGTAAAACGTATTTATCTCAGGTTTTATTTTTAGATCTGCCAAGCAAGAATATGGGGATAATTTCTTTTTCCATAAGAGACAAGGAGACAAATTACACCTAAACATAAAGTACGGCAAAAACCTTCTGATGTTGTTGTTGTAATTAACAAAAATGAAAATTTTAGTGCACAATATGCTGCATGTCAAGGTTTGTAATATTTATTATGCTTTTTGTTTTTATATTACATATAATAAACAGTGTATAAGGCCCTTTATTACTATAAATATTTTTTTTCTAATTTTGACATATAGACATTTTTTGTAATCGCAGCAAGTGTTAAAATAATCTAGAAACAGATTTTGTTAGTGAACCTAGTAGTAATTATGATACCAAAGAATAGGCTATTTTTATACCCTTTTCAAAAATTTTATGCTCCTCGTTTTTTGCAAAACTTAAAATGCTCTATAGCTTCGAACGAAGTCAGCAAAGCACCTCTGTTTTATAAAGTTTTTTCTGTAAAAACAGCAACTTGAAATATTATATTTTTAAAAATACATGGTGCTTGCTAACCTTCGAAAGAAGCCAGCAGAGCAATTCGGTTTTTTTAAAGCTTTTTTCAAAAACCACACCCCATTTTTAGACTCTTGAAATATTGTAAAACTTTACTAAAAAAATTGCTATTTTTAAATAATACAGGGTGCTTTGTTGGAACAAAGTCAGCAGGACACTTCAGTTTTTTAATTTGTTTTTTTTTTATATATATATAAAACAACTACTTATGACACATGTTTAGGCTGTTTTAAAACCCTAAAAATGTGGTAAGTACATTTGTTTTTAGAAGTCAGCAAGGAATTGCGAATCTTTTTTAAAATGCCAAATTTCGAATATTTTATAATATTGTAGGAGCCAAAAAACGTGGTGTGGTTTAAAAAAAAACTGGGGTGCTCTGCTGGATTCGTTTGAAGCTAACAAAGCATCCCGTAATTTTTTATTTTATAATACTCAATAGCCTAAAATGAGACATAGCTGTTTAAACAAAAAATTGTATTTTTAAAAATAGCAGTTTATTTTTGAAAAGCTCTATAATATTTCAAAAATGTGAAAATGTGGTGAGGTTGTTTTTTTTTTAAGTTTTGAAAATCCGAGGTTCTTTACTGGATTCGTTCAGAGCTAGTAAAGCTCTACTCGTCTTGTTACATAAAATAAAGGCATTTTGTAGCTGGTTATATAGTTATTTTGTAACTGCATATCTAACCCTTTTATTTTTTTCAGTTGGTTGTAAATATGTGGCTTCATAGAAGAAGTGAGGAACCATCTGTAACATCTACTCAGTGTTATTGGAAAGGCTCTAATTTATCAAAATGCGTAAATATTGATGTACACTTGGCTAGATTGTTAAAGAAACCTCTTCATCCACTACAGGAAAATATATCAGTACTTTTATATTCTTAGGATTTGTATATATTTTTTATTTGTAAATAAATTGTTTTTTTACTTCATTTTTCTCATTTTTTATTAAAAGGTTAATAAATAAAATTTTCACAGATTTTTATATTTTTGTTTGTAAACAATAATTGAAGAGTTTTTATTAAAAATCACCAATGTTAATAATAATAACTTAAGTCAATATTATTCTTTCTCCTTTTTTAAAGCTAGTATCAATAAAGATATTACTTTAGCTTGACCTATGATCAATTTTTAAATTTTGTGATATATTTGGTTCGACAGAAAAAAAATTATAACCCTTTGACATTGGTTGTTTTTACTTAGATTTTCATAACAAATAAACGGAACTGCAAACATGTTTTACTATCGTAATAATGAATAGCAACATTAAATTTTTTTTTTCACATTTATCACTGTTGTCATTTTCATAAAGGATTGGTATGAAGGCACACTTTCTGGTTTTTTGAAAAAGGTGGCAAGAATTGTGATATTTTTAAATTTATCACCAGTGATACCACATGTAGTTACCCGATTTATTGGAATATATAGACTTTGCTACCACATTCAACTGAACTTGGTTGTTTTTAATATTTATCACTGTGACATAGGCGTTTTTGTCAAATTGTTTCATTTTAAACTGCTGTAAATAGGTGCCTTTGTTTTGGTAGTTTTAGTCCCAAAAAAATCTATGCATATACAGGTACTCATTCCTCTTTGATTTGTTCGAAAAGTTAAAATTTTATAAAAAATTACATTGGCTGTTTAAAAACTCATTATAATCCCTGAAATGTGATAATTAGGTAAATTAAATTAAAAAAACAAACAAAAAAAATTTATTAAATTAATATTTACTCTTACAAAATAGGTTCTTGTAAGTTAACAAGCAATTATGCAGATATTACTAAGTAAATGTACTTGCTTAAAATTCACACACGAATGTGGTTTTAACATGTTAAATTAAATTAACTAACTCTTTCCACATGTATTCTTAGAGATGCTATTCTTTTCTCGATTCTTTTACTTAATTGTACATCTTCTGGAGAACTTTTTTCATTCTGTGATACACTAGGTGTGGCTTTACTAAAGTGCATCCCATGTTTTCAAGTAGCTGAATATTCTGAAATCCCTATCTGCCATTATATGGGATCCAGGAACCAGTTTGTTTAAATACCCGCATTTTTCTATTATTTCTTTATCACTAGTTCTTCCACAAAATGAAGAATAAATTCGGTATCTTCAAAACTTTCAGGAGATTCTGCATTTTCTTCCAGAAGGGTTTTTAGGTAATTCACCTAAGAATTTATAGTAGCCTAATTTTCAATTTCCTGAAGGGGACAATTAGCAGAAATTGCTGCTATATCTTGATAATCCGGTGTATTTTTATTAAAAAGTTTACGAGAAACATCGCTAGTAGAAGGTTGATTTTCTTCTTTCCAAATTTCTGGGAACACTAATAAATATTTTTGAAAATGAATGTGAATCATTATCACATTCTGGAACAAAACACTTTTTCGTAGTCATAATATTTATAAAAAGTACAAAATTAAACACTCAAATTCCAAATAAATTCTTGATCGAGACACTATGATGACAGATGCCATACACAGTGCTGCCATTTTGCCATTTTCTGAATTATTAAGTGACTTTGAAAACAATGAAACGTTAAATATGGTAAAAGTTTAAACAGAAATAATACTTTCAAAACACATTTGATATTATATATTTAAAAGATATTTGTTTAACGATGTTTTAGAAGTCTAAAAGTAAGAAGGAGTACACAAACGAACGTACATCACTTCTCGTAAACCTTCTAGCCGGCAACGTTGTGCGCTAGCTCCTATTGGTCTATTCCCGGTGACGTCATAAATTTTTAAAAAATTCATAACTCCGGCAAATGAATAGATAAAAAAAAATAAAAAAAATATAGTTTTATTTTTAACTCTACTATTCATAAAAAAAATTTCAAAATTTTTGAACATGCCCCATTAGGTATTATCCGTGGTAATTTGATTTTCTTTTTTATCAAAAGGGTCAAGACCGATAAAATATTTATTTAATTTTCGTTCAGAAAAAGAAATGATATCTGAAACCTAGCTAGTGTTCTATATGCGTGGGATGCAAGGACACTACTAGCAATTATTTTATTTTATTTATTTACGGATAATCTCCTTTTACAAAATAATTATTATCAGTAGATATTTTAAACATAACCCAAAGTATCACACAAAAAAGAAAAAAAAAAACTTAAATATCATAAATATCACAAAAAACTAAGCTAAAGCTAACTCGATAAGTACTCCCTCAGCTGATTTTTAAACCTAACCCGACTAACTCCCAAAAGATCAGTGTGTCTGTTAATTTCATTTCCTTGCTTTTGAAATCTGGTTAAAGGACTGTTGAGTCCATAGTTCGTATGATGGAAGCTAATTGAAAATAATGGTTCCTCTCTAATATTTATGTTGTTTAATCTAAAGTTTATTAGCTACAACATATCCGGAAAAGCTATACTCCCTTCCAGGAGGTTATAAAGAAATAAAAGATCATAACTAATTAACGTTTTCTCAACTGACAATAAGTTTAAATGGTTATTAAGCTCCCTCTTAGAAAGATAAGGCATATGTAACCTCCACTGACAAGTTCTTAGAAACCTATTTTGAACTGCTTCTAAATATAAAATATGAGGCCGGTAATGAAGTGACCAGACTGGTGAAGCATATAAGAGGATGCTGCGCACTACTGTTAAGTAAAGGGTTCGGAATGTAGGCACAGAGAATTCCCTAGAGTTCCTGGTCACAAATCCTAATATTTTCAGAGTTCTACTAATGATGGATCTCATGTGTGGGACAAATGTCAAAGAACTATCGAAGATCACACCTAGATCCTTGTTTCACTAACTTTCTCCAAAACAGTAGTATTGATATTATAAAGAAAATTTATAGGGTTTTTTGATCTTGTGACGGTGATTGAAAAACATTTACGTGGATTTAAAGACATGGCATTATTTAAAGCCCAATTAATAAAATAGTTTAAATCATCCTGTAACTTCAAACAGTCAGGTAAGTTTAACATTTCCATGAATAATTTCAGGTCATCGGCGAATAGTAGGAACTTACAATATTTAAATCCTGAAGCCACATCATTAATAAATATATTAAATAGTAATGGTCCCAAATAAGATCCCTGGGGGACACCTGAACTTACATTTATTGGAATCGAAGTAAAACTTTTAACTTTGACATATTGAACCCTGGATTGCAGGTAGCTTTCTAACCATTTCACTAAGTAGTTTGGAAACCCGAATTTCACTAATTTCCTTAAAAGCAAATCATGGTTCACCGTGTCAAATGCCTTCGAGAAGTCAGTGTAAATTGAGTCAACCTGACACCCCCTCTCAAAGGCAGAAATGATATAATGTTGCAGAAAGTAAAACTACATGGCGATAGTTAACTATGTCATCTTTCTGACCATTTTTAAATATGGGGGTAATGAAACTATCACGCCATTTTGCAGGAAACTGTTGTAGTTCCAAAGAGGAATTAAATAAAAACTGTAGTGGTTTGGAAAGAGTGAATTTACATTTTTTCAAAAAAATAAGCAGGGCTTCCATAAGGACCATAACTCAATTTATCTTTTAGGGAGTTAGTACCATCATAAACATCACTTAAGGAAAACTGTATAAAGGGAATATCAGGCAGGTTCAAAGCATTATAATGAAGGTTTGGCTCATCTACAATATCTTTCTTATAAACACCGGAGAAATGCGTAGCTAACAAATTACTGATGTCTTTCCCATTATCTAATAAAAAATTTCAACACTAACATTAATATCATTATTGACTAAAATACCCTCCCAATTAATTGGAGCAAAATAATTATTTAAAGCTACATAATCCGCTTCTTTAAAGTCATAAAAAACAATGTCACAAGACAAGGGACTAATATCACTGACAGTTAATTCACATGAAATTGTAACATGGTGGAAGTTATTAGGCAATAAGGTGTCTACGGCTGTCTCGATAGTAATAGAATTCCTAACGTCATTGTTACAAAAACATAAGTCGAGGAATATACCGTGCTGATTTGGAATTCCATTTGCCTGACTCAAATTCAAGTAGGAAAAACTATCACTAATTATTACGGCTGGATATTCTGCAGAGCAAGAGACAGAGATACCATCATCACATGAATAATTCCATGTAGCATGTGTAAGATTATAGTCTCCAAAAAGGTATAGCTTATTGTTAGGGTTGTTTTCCACTATATGCTCAACAGCAGAACAATGATAAATATAAGCATCATGATTTAACCCTGGTGGAATGTAGAGAGTCCCAAAAATAATAGTTTCATTATTGATCGATAATGAAACAAATAAATGTTCAACATTAATAAACTTAGTAAGATGTGATTAGGTGCTATACGAGGTAGACTTTTTGCTTTATTTTTTTTTTGTAGTTACTTGATTGGCGTTCAGGGGCTCTATTCTCGAATGTCTATTTTTAAATGTCACACATGACATTGATATGTCGAACAAGAACGCAAAAACGTATTCTCCAATGGCGAATTCGACATTTGCTGTTAGACATAAAGTCGAGTGGTATTCAACCAATCAACATTTTAATGTCGCCTATCTTTTTGAAGATAATGTTACAATATGAGTGTTGTGACAGTGATAATTTATGTTTATTTTTAAGAGAAATGAAAAGAAGTATTGTATAAATTGTTTTTAAAAAAAATTTGATTTGATTAATTACAATTTCACCTAATTTATCAATCATTAGTACTGTCTGTCCAAGAGATTTAATCCCTGTCATTAAGAAATTTATATAGCTCTTATTTTTTCAAATCGAAGGGAAAAAGATATTATAATCCTTTTATATAGTGTTTAGATTGTATTATAATAATATGTTTTTTCTTCTTTCTTTTTAATCTCTTACCAAATTGTACTTCCAATTTTAATCCCTCATGAAATTTCAGTTAAAAAGATTATATTATATTTTCTCTACTTTCTAATTTGTATTTATAAAAAAGATATACATTCGGGATATATTTTTAGTAATATTTTGTATTACTAAGAGATCCTTCAAGTAACTGTCTGCTGTAATATACTCGTATTGTATGTTTCTATCCAATGTTGTCAGATGTTACCATTCGCCAAATATGTCACCGATTTTAAAATGTCTATTTGTCTTTGAGAATACGGATAGTGTCAGTCGATCGACATTTTGATAGATATTAGTAGTAGACTAACGCGACATATTTAATAGACATTCGAGAATATGGCCCCAGAAAAAAAAGTCTAAGCTCTGTCCTGTCAAAACTATCGTTCCGCATCTGGTTCTTTTTGTTTATTTTTGTTCAGAGTTATTAAAACCAGTGAAAGGTGTGGGTTTTGAAATGTATATTAATTTAAATTTTGTTAGTAGCTTTTGTAAGCAATAATATGTATTAATTTTAACAACTTGGCTCATAATTGTGTATCGACCTCTCACTTTTACCTTCTGAAAGTCTCTGACATAATAATAATAATGATTAAAGCCAGTTATTGTTACCCACTTATATTTACAGTCTGATATCAACGAGGCCCCTGGAATTTTTCCTTAACCTTCACTAGAAGCTGTCCGAGCCCTTTTGAGGCCGAATCAAAAGGTTCTGGAGAGCAAACCACATTAACAAAACTGGCACCCTAGTGCTTCCGAGCCCTAAGGCGTCACTTGTAAGGGTCATATTTTCTTAGAGACAAGAAAACACCTTACAATACAATACTACACTAATTATATTGTATTATTATTATTATTATGCATCTTCTTTATGTGGTTGTGCCGTCGTTTTAATATAGGCAAACGTTATTTCGAGAGTTTCGGTTCGCTAGATTCACAACAGTAGAAGTTGACGGATTATATTTGTTTTGCGAACCCCTTTTATAAAGCTTGCGAACACCTGGGAGTTCCCGAATCACCGTTTCGGAAACGCTGCTCTAGAAGGTCTGGAGAATCGTTACACTAATAATTAGATTTATAAATATTAAATAAATTTAGAGATCTAAATTATCAGGAACCTACATTTTACTTAATTTTCGTTTCTTAATACAATTTGTTAATATTTTTTTCATACTAATCATCTACACGTTAGACGAGGTCATGGGAAAACAAGTTCTTCATATATTTAAATTATATTTCCTCCTTTAATTTATTTAACTTTTATAATACTAGTTATAAATGATACAAAATATTACAAAAAATAAACTATAAATTCTTACTTTTTCCATCCAAGCTGATCCTCTTTCATCTCCTTCGCCGCAAACAAGATATTCTTCAGCACAAACTTTTCTAATTTCATCCTTAAGGCCTAAAAAAGGTGTAATTAACAAAAGACACCGCTATGCAAACTTTAGTTATATTTACCTTGCATTTCCGCTCTGGTATACTGAACATTCGGAAATACATCGTTCAATAAGCTAAACAAAAGTGGAATATCTTCAGCAACTAATTTAGGTACCATAGTTTCACAAACAGACTGTATTAATATTTCTTGTTCAGGTAAATTTTCGGCTATATTAGCCTCGTCTATGTTAGTTTCGCCTCTCTGAGTCATACCTTCTTTAATTCTTTGTATTCTGTCTCTTTTAACATTTCCAGCTGATATAAGTACTGATTTCAATGCTCTCAGTCCAAAGTCATAGTGAGATTGGTTTGATAGTTGTTCATCACACAATCTAAAAAAATAAATAAAATAGGTAAAGAAAATATATGACAACAAAAGGATGTATTAAATTTGGCGAATTTCATTTTTAACAAGGCTCCTATACACGATCGGCCATTGCATGGACCAATTTATCGATTTCACCACTGAGCTGTCATTCACATGATCGCCTGTGTTCATTTACCTACTTTCTGTTCATTAATCAAGATGGAATTCGATGACGAGATGATTGCAGCTACTTCTTTTTAATAATAATAATCTTTATTTCAGAAAATGCTATTATTTACCTATAGAAGAAAAATACACCAATATATAATGTAATGACGTCAAATAAAAAAAAAACTGGTGTAAAAATACATAGATTCCAATAAATTACAAACAGACTTACAATTAAAACCGATTTTAAAAAAAAAACCATTAATACTATAGGGTTAACAGTAATTTTTTAATTTCTTTTTTGAACTTGTTAATACTTGTACAATTTTTAATAGCTAAGGGAAAATTTTAAATAATTTCATTGCCATATAATAAGGGGACCTCTCAGTAGAGCTTAATCTATGAGAATGATAATTCAGATTTAAATTTGTTGTTTCATAGCGATGATTAAACACACAGGAATCAAACATTTATCTATTCTTAAATAAATACATTAGGCATTCAAATATGTAAACTGCATAAAATGTCATAATTTTATTTTCTTTAAATATTGTCTTACATGAGTCCCTGAAATGCATTTTATTATTCTAATAACTCTTTTTTGGATAATAAATATTTTTTCAGCAGTGACATTAGAGCCCCAAAAAATGATTCCATATCTAAGAACAGATTCGAAACTAGCAAAGTAGAGAGACATCATCGATTCTTTTTTTAAATATTTACTAGTTATTTTTATTCCATATGATATTTTACTCAATTTAGAAGCTGTTTCTTCTATATGTTTTGACCAACGTACGAATTCATCAATGTAAATACCCAAAAACTTTGCAACTGTACTTAGTTCAACAGATGCATCATCTAACTTTATAATACGTGGCTTTTCATTACCTAATAGATTATTGGAAAACAGTACAGTTTTCGTTTTTGTTTCATTTAAAATAAGTTTGTTTTTGTGAACCAATTTTTTACTTCACAGAATAGATCACTGCAGTTGATAATTAGCCCAAGGAATGTCTCCCCACCTGCCAAAAGATTAGTATTAGTATCATCAGTATAGACAGTTATATATTGGGAAATACTTAAATTAAATTTACATAGGTCATTTATAAATATGATAAACATCAATGGACCTGCAATATTTCCTTGCGGGATACCAACAGATGTTAGTACAATATCCGATTTAACATGTTGAAATTCTTTACTTATACGGACCCTTTGTTGCCTATATGTTAAGCCTGAAACCACTTCAGTGTGTTATCTCTTTTGCCATATCTTTCTAGTTTTTTTCAGCAGAATGTTACAGTCTAGACCGACCATACTCAAGCTGCAGCCCTCTAAGCTTTTCTTTGCGGCCCGAAACACTATTATTGAGAAGGTGTTTTTTTAAACTATGTGTTTGTTTTTAAAATCTTGAGTGAAACTCGCGAAAACATTCATCGGCCGCTGTGCTAAATATCAAGCTAATTTTTAAATAAACGTTTGGATCATGGGGTCACTGCAAAATCAAAATATCTCCATTTTTGGCATTTTCGAGTTAAGTATACTTTTGTCTCCAAAATAGTTCAAATAATATACGGTTTAAACAAGACAAGTGTGAACGATGATAAACAGATGGTCAACAAAAACTAACTCAATATTAATACATATGTACAAACAAGACGAGTGGCATTTATACTGAAATATAATCATAACATTGTGTTCAATTACTAATAGTGTGTCTACTAAAACCAGATAAGACACATGTAACTTATTTTTGCTAAATGTCTTTAGTTCGATTCCTAATAATGTTTTTGTCAAAACACGATAAAGGCCAGAAAATCATGAAAGTATGGGGATGCTAACGCTAGTCTCCATATTGTTTGCACGTTAAAACGACCAGAAGCGCTTCTTAAATCATCGGAACAACAGCTTTATGCATTGCTTGAGAAACCCAAGCCATACCGGCAGAGGGATGCCTAAAAGGGTGAAAAAATGCTCTGAAATTACTTAATAAGTGCCAAATAATGTAAGTAATGCCAAGAAAAAAGATTTACTACACCTGATGAAATTAACCATTAATATCACAATCTACATGTATCCAATAATGTTAGACATTTCCTGAACCTTTCACAGAAGCTAGTGACACAACCATTGAATATTATGACTTGCACAGTGCACATGGATTCTTGCGTACGAATTCGACACGATACGTATCGAATAGAGATTTTGTAGAGAGCTAAAATAAGTTGTGACGTTTTTCTTTTTTTTTTTTGTTCCCCATCGATAGATTCTTAGTTTATATTTGTAAAGACTTGTTTTAAATTCCTTTTTTTATTGGAGTTATTGTTTATTAAACAGTGCTTTTTACTGATTTTTAATTTCATTTTAAACGTTTGAAGAGCATTTTTTCTAAACTCTAACAATGTGAGTTATCTTGTTTTTGCAGTAACCCTACAGGATATTATTTATGTTTTGTGGTTTTTTTTATTAGAGGTTCCCACTAACAAATTTTAAATGGGTGGTCTAAATAAAGGGTCATCATCCAAAGATATTGCGGCCCGTGTAACATAGCAAACATACGTATGTGAGTATGGCTTGTCTAGACAATCATAGGCTTTTGACAAGGCAAGAGCTAGATATTTTTGTTCCATTTACTTTTTTATGTGTTGAGTATGCTGGAATATAGCGGTTTAGGTAGATTAAGTTTTTTAAATATCCATGTTGGTTATTACTAAAAATATTAGTTATGGAAAAAATTAACATTGTTACACATGGCTGTTTCAAATATTTTGGAAAAACTAGATAAGAGACTTATCGGAGGGTAATTTTCCATTATTTCTGGATCTCCTTTTTTCGATAATGGCTTTATCCAAGCAAGTTTGAGCTGAGAAGGAAAAAATACCAGACTTCAATGAATTGTTTGTGATATATGTCAAGATCTCACAGCTATAATACATTTTTTTCACATTTGTAGCTTTCTCATCATCACCACATATGTACTTTTCAAATTATTAGAAATTTCAATAACATGATTGGGGATTAGCCTCTGAACTCATTGATTCAGGATTATAGGATATGTCACAAGTGAAATGTAATAATCATTAGCAATTTCTAAATGATTTCCTTTAATTTTACAATCTTGATTCTTTGCTTTCCCAGTAATTTCTTTACAGCTTTCCACATACTTTGTCTTATTATCAGAAATTTCTATCCTTTCGACATATTCTTCTTTTTTAAAGTTTATTAATAACTGATCATATTCTTTTATTACTACAATCAGTGGCGGCTGGTGGGGTGGTTCACAGTGACAGAATATAGGTATCAGTACAGATGTATGAAAAAACTTTCAGTGTTTTAGAGAGTTTATAATATACCTTTCTAAAACACTGACAGTTTTTTACCTATATTTGTACCGGAATCTATATTCTGTTACTGTGAACCCCAAAAATTTAATCACGAGCCGCCCCTGACTACAATATATTCTGTTCTAAGATTTTCATTGTATTTAGAGAGAGTTAAAAGTGTACCTAATCGACTTTTTAGAATTTTTGATTTAATCATTGTTTAAGTAGCTCCTCTTTTTTAAATAGGTTAAACTATTTTCATTAAATAAATAACTAAAATTATTGATAAAATTTCTCCACTGTTCATTTAAGTCACATTGATCCGTCTCATAGACAAGCTCCCAATTTTAATTTGTTAGTTTATTGACAAAATTGAATATATTTTCATCAGTTAATAATCTGCATAAAATCATCACATAAACGGGTTAAAAATTTCATTTATGAAAATTTTATGTTTATTTTCTTTCAATTTTAATTTTTTACTTTTGTTTTTAGCTTTCTTATACTTGTAACCTACCGCACCCAGGTACCATAATAATTTATTTATTCCATTTATTAAATATAATATTGCATTCTTATTAAATTCAAAATCCTTCATTTAACGAAAAATCTCCCAGATAATTCAATCTTATTTACCTAATAAATAATATCTATAACCATGTCCGTAAGAGATCCAATTTCGTACCAGTGTTTGGGAACCGGCCCAAGAAACACACTTATCTTAAGTGCGTTTGAATAGTAACGTTGTTTTCGATATACAAAATTTTCAAGGCAAATAATAAATCTGCCACCCCCTTTTCCACTAAGACACTGACGTCACAAAAAGCCATAAGGACTAGTATAAGAACCCGGACCCAAATGAGCTCGGGGGCATTCATTTTTATTATTTGATGTGCAAGCATTCATTTTATTATTGGTATCTAGTTATATTTTAAGTTCAGTAGTCTGTACCTTTCCTAAAACGCTATTCAACAACGTATATTCTACAATATCTCTTATCCTCCGAACGCTGTCAACGTCCCACGCCTTATTTCCCGACGCTTGCCGTCCCTAAATATTTCCTTCATAATATCCTTGTCGACACCCTTCGTCACGTCCCGCACCACCTAAATATTTCTACCGTATATCTGTCCCAATGCAGTACTGTATTAAATACATCCCTCTCCACCACGACGCTAGGCGCCTCGACGCAAGGCAACGCTCAACGCTGCGGCGTACCTAAACCTACGCCGTCACAACGTTAGAATTTTGACTTGAATAAATAACAAAATTATGAAAAAAATGTGAAAAAGAAGATGGTGGAGCCAGATGTTCATCATAATCGATTTTTAAATTTAAGATTCCAAATCGCTAGCTCGCTCTGATACTGTTCTATAAATTCAACGCTTGATCGTTAGTCCACGCCGGCATTGTAAATTCTTCAACAATTACTTTTTAGTACCTACCACACAAAATTAAATACATGTGATTACCTTTGATCTGTGTATGAAACACTGACAACTCCTCGATTACCGATAAATAGGCCCTCCAGACGATGGTACTCACATGTGATCGCCCACGATGGCCGATCGTATACAGGAGCCATTACAGTTTAGTTTAAAAAAAAATCCTTCTTAAAATAGAGAAGGAAAATTGTTTTTAGATTATAGTTTAATTGAATCTATCATTTTGAAAAACGGACTTTTATTTTTCAAGGAAAACTACCCAGTCTATATAGTTATGTGTAAATTGAATTATTCTTATCATTAATAAGAAATATGTATGATGTAACTTGACAGAAATACTTTATATATAATTTTAGGCCCGTTTTTCAAAAAAATCCTTTTAATTTACCTGAAGAAAGGTACAATTTTGGAGGCTAATTTTTCTGCTTGTCTAAATCCTTGAGAGAACAACATGACTTCAGCGATAAGTTGTCTGTCGGGAGTGGTCATAGCCAGAGATCTGAATAATTTCTTAAGGTTATCTGGTAAATTAGAACGCCCTGCATAACCAGGATTCATTGTAATGAATATAGCCATATCTGGTGATACTTTTACTTGCTTGCCAACAAGTTCAACGCTTATACCTAAAAATATTGTTACAAAAAAAGTGAATGCTCTACATTAACCCTTCATCAGGCACGTATGCTTATGAAACATAGTTACTCATGATGGGTCTGCCTAACCCATGAGTACTAAATCCCTGGTTTTTATTTGTTTTCAAAAAAAAATGTTAACATCTCATTCTTTTCCCAATTTAAATCTCTTGTGTAGTGATTAAACAATATATTTCACTTTTATAAAATATAATATAATGCATGCAATAAATAGATAGTTTTTTTGCTATTTTATTATTATTCAGATTCAAAGGCAGTTTTTTGTACACTGTTTTCTTCTAAGCATTTTTGATGGTTTTTACATGACACAAATAATGACCATTCGCAATGCAATAAAAATAATGCTGTACTTGAAATTCAGGCAAACTATTCTTAAAAGATGCCACTGAGATGTCATAGAACTACAAAGTCGTAACAATAATAGTTAAAAAAAAAAACTGAAAATGTATACACCATAGGCTGACAGATCCATACGCGACTAACGAAGTGTTAATTCATAAATAAGGAAAGAAATTATAAAAATCGAAAATAAAAACCAAGTACTTACTACCAGTTGCAGTTCCTTCTGCTGCAGCTTCTTTCTGAGATTTCAAAGCTTCTTGGATGGTTTGTATTTGTTGGGAAACTGCAGATAACATTCTCTCCTCCAATCTGTTAAATTCATCAAAGCAACCCCATGCGCCTACCTGACATAAACCAACGAAAATTCTGCCCATAGCTTGAAAATCGAATGTTTCATCACAGTTAAATACAAGAACGAAACGACCCAATTGGTTTCCGAGAGCTTTAACTGATTCTGTCTTACCCGTACCAGCAGGACCTAAAAATGTATGTTATAGAATTGCTTATGAAAATAATCAGTAGCGGTTACCGAAAGGTGATCCTCCTAATCTGGCTTCCAAGGCTTGAGTCATGGTTAAATAGCATCTATCTGTTAGAGGTGTCTGTACAAGCCTATCTTGAACACCAAGATATTCAAATCCATAATAGAATCTTGCATTAGCCATGTGTATTGTCAGTTGCTTAAGAACCTCTGTTTGTCTGGGATCAAAGTAGAATCTCATTTCACATAACCATTCAAAAGCCTTGTTACTACAAACACCATTAGCAATAAGTCTTCTTGTTACCGTTCTCTTATGAACAAATTCATTGATTAAGTGTTCTAACTTCTTCCTTCTAAGTTGAGGTTGTTCTTGAAGAACAGAATCTGCTAGGACATTAAGAGTACTTTCAACTTGTTGAAGTACCTTTTCTAGGACACCTTTCTGTGGTTCACTGTTCATTTTCACAAGAGCTGCTTCAACATCCTCACTCCATAGAATCTGAGCAGCAAGTACAACAATTTGGGCTTGGTATTTATCAACCCATTCCATGTAGGCCTTTGAGTCAATTTCATCTTTAAACTGTTTAATGTCTTGTACAGCTTGTGTTAAATTTGAAGCTAATGTAACTCGCATTTCTTTCTCAACCATACTAAGCCATTCATTAATTTTTGGATGATCAACAGTAGAAACTGGTGAGTTAAATACTACTTCTTCTCCTTCCCTAGATGCAATACCAGTTATAATTGTATTGTTGTCATTTAAGAGTATGGAGGCTACGCCCGCAAACATTTTTTTGAAATGCTTCTGCAGCCTTGCAACATTCTTGCTGTTACCGATGATCTCCAATAGATCTTCATCTCCTACAAAGTAGAAACGTGGAAAAGATGTACGTTCTCGTTCCAAATACTCTCCTAGAGCTTTTTGAATCTTTCCTAGAAGGTCTGCTAATCTTTCTAGAGCCCTTTGTACTCCTGGAATATTTAAAACATCCATGACCATAGGACTTTTGCTTACCTTCTTCATCAACCCTAAGAACTCAGAACTTATACTTTGGAATCGAGATGTTTCTACTGGCAGAAGTGTCTTAATGTCCGCACTTCCAGAGAAAATTCCTTCTAAATATACCCATCTTCTTTGCACATCAATCCACACATCAAAAAGAGCGTTAATACGGTTTAATTTTTCTTCCCAAGTTAAGGCTTCTTCCTCAAAAACCTTGTAGTACGGAGATAACTTCATAGCTGCTACAGAATTAATATGTTCTTTTACTTTATTAAATAGATCATCCCATCCTCTAATCAGTTTGCATTTGTTTTGATAATTGATTAAGTCCAATTCGTAGTTCTGCCAAGATTCCCTAACTTGTTTCAAGAACTCTTCAAGAGCCATTTCTCCTTGTGCTACCAATATGATATCCTTAACGATTGCTTCATTTTTTTGAAGATTAACATCCCATACTTGACCGAGGGTTAAATCAGAAAGGACCCAGTTTACTCTCAATTGTTTCATTAGTTGTTTCCAATGACGTTCTTTAAGAGCATCAGATTTTAATTCAACAATTAACATATTAACTTTTGTGTAAGTTTGGAGAGTTTTTTTAACATATTCATAGGAAGCATATTGTCTAAGCCTGGCTGGTAATTCTTTGAGTTGGGTGGACAATTGGTCCAATTGCTGCCTTAATTTTCTAGGTTGAATAGATAACCAAGGCTTTTCCCTAGTTTCATCAATTTGCTGCCAAATTCTTGACAACTCAGACCACACTCCTCTCAAATCCTGTAGCTCTTCATAAACAACTTGCATTCTGTCTTCACTGGTACTAATACCGCCTGGATCTTGCAATTCAAGAGCTTCTTTTGCTTTTGCAACATTATCACGTTCTTCTTTTAGTCGGGAGAATTTACTTTCAAATAGTTGTAGTTGAGAAAGAGCGTCATCTGGTCTAAGATGACCTTCGACGGGTTTACTTCTTTCCCAATCAACCAAGAAATCATTGGTTCTACTTTCAACAGCTTTATCTTCAGACACAATTTTTTGTTGAAGACTAGCAACTTGTGTTTGGATGCTAGAATCTTTTCTCTTGATGATTTCGTTGAATGCTCCCCATTCCCCTTCTAAATTTTCAACATGTAACCAGTTTGTAGGGAACTGAAATCGTTGACGCTCCAATATTCTTTGACCTTCTTTGTAAATGTCTACTTGTTTCTCCCAAGCTTTCATACTACGTTTTAATTGCTGAACATACGTTATGAAACAGACTGCATCTGAAGTGCTTGCTGCTTCAATGCTTTGCAGTTCTAAGTCAGATCGAGATTTGGAAACATTAGAGTGGAATGAAGTCATTTCGTTGCTCAAAAGACTTCCGAATTTACCTAAGGTATCTTTGTGCCAAGAATCATATTTTAAAGAGACTTTGCTTTGAACTTTGGCGAAATCAATGATGATAGGCCCGAATTCTCGACGAGTATCTGATGTGTCAAAAGTTGTACGCGTTTTTCTATTGTGAACAAAAAAACACAGTTAAATGAACCCACACTAAAAATTTGATGACTGTACTCACTTTATATCATTTAAACACTCCATCCATTTGCTAATATCTTCTCCTAACTTTCCATAAAGATTGTCAGCTTGTAGATCCCATAAAGATTGGTAGGTTAACCATTCATTTACATAACTTTGAACCTAAATAGAAAATATATTTTGATTGTTCTGTCACTAAAGAAATACTTAAATTTATTTGTTAGTTTGAAAAAAAATATTTTAATAAATATCTACAAATTAAGCATGAACTAACCTCTTTAATTTTTGAAGAAATGGCGCTATAAGCGTTAGTTAGAGGTTGCGGACCTGCTGGTAACTTGGTTAAAATATTTCTGTAGGTTTCTGTAACTGGCTTATCCACGCCAACTTGATATCTACTACTCTGAAGACGTTGCTGAGACGTAACAATAGCTTGCCAAGCGAATAATTGCTGCATAATTAGGAATCTGGCCTCTTCTATACTTGGATACAAATACATTGTTTGATTTGTAATACGAACTTCATGTATCATTGTTTGAATCTGAGGATCCCCTCCAGGCTTGTGTGTTGGTTGTGCTGGAGCGTCTGTATCCATGCTGTGATCAATTTCTTTTTTCTGTCCACTTAAAGTTTCTGTCCAAGCTTCGACACCTGCTTGCAGACGCCTAGCGAGATTTTTTTCAACTTCCTCATCTAACCGACTAACCCAAATATGTAAGTTTGAATACTGTTTTAATGAAAGATCATCCACGGCATGTTGAATCTTGGATAATATATCAGCGAATGTATTAGCTGAATAAGGACAAGTTTCTAGCGACCTTACATCAACTTCTAACTGTTCACCAACAAAAACTAGTTCTTCAACTCTTTCTTGGAAACTAACGACAAGATCTGATAGACGCTGGACATAGGGATCTAGTTTGTAGCTCTCCCAAACTAGTTGGATACCTTCTGCAATGACTTGCTGAACTTCTTTTCTCATACCAGCGACAAGGGGGATAATGCTAGCCTTATCTTCAATCTAAAAATGAGATTTGGTCATAGCTTCTAATAGGAAGAAGTAAATACACTGAGGGAACTAAGCAGTTAACAATGCAACAATTAAATGCATTCCTTATTGTTTTACAGCAAAATAATTTTAAAATCGAAATTAAATATACTGCGATAAATAAATAAATTATAAAAAACAAAATTTCTATAAATCTTCGGCTTTACAGATAATAGTTTGTAAGCAAGGAATTAAGAAAAATTTACATAGTTAATACAAGATTTTAGAGTAACCACGTATGAAAAATATATATCTTAATAAATCATGATATCTAAATTATAATATAAATATCAAGAACAGGAAAGGTTAAGGGTAAAAATTGAAGGGCCAACATGCAAAAACTATAGCTCAGGGGCAATATAGTTCCATGCTACTTGATAAACACAGAACATCTACCAATTATCTACCTTAATACCACTTGTTGGACTAGTCCTGTTTGTTAGCTATTATTAAAGATAACATTTAAAAGATGCAAAAATTTAACAAAATAAATGCCTAAACTATCGTTTTTCATAAAACTTTAATATTTCAAGTGCATTTTAAAGATGGATATACTGTAATGAAGCTTAAAATGGCAATTCCGATTATTTGATTTTGAACTTTTTAATGATTTTACAACTTAAACTTTAGTCAAATGTTCATATGTCTGTATTAATCTTCGATCATATAAAGACTAGATAAAAATAATCTCGGCAAATTTAAGACGGGATGAAATAAACTGCAGAGTTGCCAGGGAGCTCTTAAGTTATCCTGACAACACTGCAGCAAACAAATACTTGACTATGACTAGACAGAATCTGCGCCTAGTCACAGGCATTCTGACTGGTCATTGCTAAGTACGGAAGCATCTCCATATCATGGGGCTGTCAGAATCCGCACTCTGCAGAGGGTGCGAATAAGAAAATGAGATTATCGAGTATATCCTTTACGATTGCTCGACGGTCTCATTTATTAGAAGATTTGTGTTCGGCGAGTATCGACTAACACTGCCCGATATAAGAGAAGCACCTCTTGGCGACGTTGTCAACTACATTAAATCTGTAGGCTGGCTCACGAGCTAGGAGGTGCCTATCATCTTAGGAGGATGCACAATGGACCTAATGAGGCCTAAGTGCTGTGGGGGGGGGGGGGGTAACCCACCCTCCACACGTTACAGATACAGATAGTCTCGGCAATTTTTTTGTCCCCAACATGAAACTGGAATAATCTTTAAAAAGAGATAGCATCCCTTCTACGATACGATTGGAAGATTTAAAATTGGCGCATTTTGGTTCAGAAGTAAGATCTACACCGATGCAGCACGATTAATTATTTTAAACAACGCCATTTTATGTTAGCCAGAGAGGTCAACCGCGAGATTAGTGTGCATCTACTTTCTAGCAACAGTTAAGCAGTAATCTCTCCGGTCACGTCGTGGATGATTGACGGTTGGGACGTTCCACCAATGGGCCGTTTCTTAAAATTCGTTCTGGTTTATTTATTTCAAGAATACATTACAGAAAATAGTAATATATACATATAAAAAAATGTAAACAGGTAAAATTGTATAAAAACACTCATAAACTAGACATACAATATTTCACTAAAATAAATATGTTAGACACCACCGAACTTAAGTGTTCTTTTTAGAGTAAGAACGTTAATATTAAAAATATCAATTGGAAAATAATTTATTATAATTTTCGCAAAGTCTTTATTGATTGATAGTTGGTTCGATGTCTTCTTACTTGAAATAGGGAGGTGTGTCGTGTCTGCCTGGTAGGCACCAGGAAGTTGATTTTCTTTAACATGGAATCACAACACATCGTCTCATTCAACAGCTTAAAAAAGAATAGGAGAAGAGATTGTTTCCTTCTATCTTCTAGGCTGTGTAGAACGCAAAGCATTATTCTCGTTTCATAGCAGATATCTTAGACATGGAAACCGAAATTTGAATAATAGATATTTAATGAACTTGCGCTGTACCCTTTCTATCCTATTTATGTGGCAGAGCTGGGGAGGATTCGAATCACATAGGATTCGAATCCTTTTTGAGGATCCGCGAGCGGTATTCGAGTACTTAAGAAAAAAGGATCCGTGATCCCGATTCGCCGAGGAAATCCTTAAGGATTCGTATTCGAATCACCACTATTAGTCTCGGATCCTTTTAGTGACCAAACTACGCCGGCGCGAATAGTCGACTCACGCTTTGACTTGTCGCGAAGTGTAAACTGAAATAGACTGAGACTGAAGACCGATTGTTAATATTTAGAAGATAAACGTAACAATCTACAAATTATTGTCAAAGTAGGCAGCAGAGCACCTAGACAATTTTGAGTTGAAACCTATTCCATACTTTTAGGTTATTTTAAGGCTATTTTTATACCCTATCCAAAAATTTTATGCTCCTCGTTTTTTGCTAAAATCAAGGTTCTCTGCTAGCTTCGAACGAACCCAGCAGAGCACCTCGGTTTTTTTAAAGCTTTTTTTTCTAAAAACAACCACACCGTATTTTTAGGCTCTTCAAATATTATAAAACTTTACTAAAAATTGCTATTTTTAAATAATACAGGGTGCTTTGTTGGAACAAAGTTAGCAGAGCACCTTGGTTATTTATTTTTTTTTCCGGAAACATCTACTTATGTCATATGTTTAAGCTACTTTTAGGCTCTTAAAATATTATAAAACTTTTCCAAAAAAATATTGTTTTCTAAAAAATACAGGGTGCTTTGTTGAAACAGATGAGCTTTGCTGGTTTCGTGCGAAGCTAGCAAAGCACCCTAATATTTTAAGAGCCTAAAAATGGTGACCCGACAACCCATCACACGACATTTCATCCCGGTGGCAGTTCATCACTGCGACACTTCATCACATCCTAAATCACCACATGCTATTTCATCACATCCATTTGCAAAATATACACTAAAAATCCCTAAAAGTTGCATGCAAATATTCAAACAAAACAGTCAAATTATGCCCTAGAACATGCCTTTATGCATGAACAAACATTTTTTGCAAAATTACGCCTTTACAAACTTTGCCCAGTAAAGCTATTGCATAAATGAAAATTCTGATGGCCAATCCTGGTGTGACAGTAAAGCGAGCTATGGCTGAAATGACAGAGAATCTATCTCTCGGATGTAACCAAGGTGTGCTTGCCAAAGAAATCAACTCTAACACAAACTCTACAAAGAAGTAGTAAAGCTGCAACCTCTGCGTCTCTCCCCAGGATATCAAATTTGAAATTTCGGAAATCTATGCACAATATATTCTTTTTGATTCTGGAAGGGAAGACAACAGAATAATTATAAATGGCAAACACGAGTTGTTAAGATTTTTGGAACGAAAAACCTGCTGGATAGCTGATGGGACTTTAAAAGAAGTTTCAGAGTTGTTCTTTTAACTGTATAGCATCCGTGGCCAAGAAGGTAATACTTCGTGGCCTTGCGGTCTAACATTATTAACTGAAAAAACACAAGGCTGCTTAAGACTTTAAAGAATTTAATACCAGAAGTAGACCCGACCCGAATTCTCACTGATTTCGAGGTGGCAACAATAAACTTCTTCCAAACAGTATTTCCCAGGGCCCAAATATCTCTCTCAGGCCGTTTTAAAAAAAGTTGGGAGGTTGGCTTAAAAAATATGTATAAGAAGCAACATAGATGTCCTAGCGATAAATATAAAAATGTTATGAGCCTTATCGCTGCTTCCGGTGGACGAAGTTGAAGATGTATTTATTGAAGTGACAGGAATGTTTTCACAAAACCGCCAGGATATAGAAGAATGAATTTTGAGGTTACGGTTATTCGTGGTCGCAAGCTACGTATAGGAAGAAAAAGAGAAGCTATGTTTCCTAATCAAATCTGGAATCAGTGGGAATCGGTTGCTGAAGGATTAGCTAGAACTAAGAATTGCGTTGAAGGATGGCATAACGGCTTGCAATCACTATTTCAATGTGTGCATCATATAATGTGGACTTTTTCAACGACCTGGCCAAAGAAACACTCGCAGTATCTCCAACATATATCTGGACAAAGCATTCCTACAAAAAATAAGTACAAATTATTAAAGCTTAGATTACAAAATATGATTGACTGTCATGATAAGAAAAATGTAGCACACACTTCACGGCACTCGATTACGAAATAAAACACTCAAAATACCTGGTATTTTCCCGAAAAAAAGCAAAAAAGCTGCGGCCTAGCACCTCTGGTACCCACCCGCCACTTTAAAAACCCATAAGCCACACGAAAAACACCAGATTACCCAATCTAAATTTTTTTCGAAAAATCCAATCGAAGGGTAAAAAAATTCCTTAGAATTCGGGTATAAATCGGGATATAAACAATTTTCCCGTAATCAGGGGAACAAAATAGACCTTAGGCTAGGCCCGCCTTAAAAAAGAAAGATTTCGAATAAATATAATTGAATTTTAGATATATAGATTATTACATAAAAGGTTAAAAATAGTTTATTTAATGTATTACATTTTCTATAATATATTAAAAAAAAAAAAAAAAAAAAAATGTACAAATGAATGTGATGAAATTGTATGTGATGAATTTGTAAAGTGGTGAATTGGAGTGTGACGAAATGTCGAAGTGATAAACTGCCGTCGGGATGAGATGTCGCGTGATGAAATGTCGTGTGATGGGCTGTCATAGAACCCCTAAAAATATTGTGTCGTTGTTTATGGAAAAAACTTAAAAAACGTTCGAAGCTAGCAGAGCAACTTAATTTTGCAAAAAACGAGTAGCATAAAAATAGCTTTAAAATGGCCTAAAAATTTGGCATAGGTTTTAACTCAAAATTACCCAGGTCGTCAGTGATTCGTTTTTTGGTGATTGAACCTTTTTGAAAAGCGAAATATTTGACGGAGCCCTACATATTTCTAAAAAAAAGGTCCTTCGAGCAAAATGCTCCTTGCTCTAGCCTCTAGCCAGGCCCCTCCCTTTTCTTTGAGGAGTCCCCACAAAAAAAATTTTCAAAATAAT